TGTACGATGGAGAGGGGGGGAAGGTATTATTCAAAGTACGTACATTATAAGCATACACCAAATTTAAATTTTATTTAAAACATAATTATTTTAATTTTTATGAAAAAGGGGGGTAGACCAATAAAATGTACGCACTCTAAGGGTATGTACGGTAATGTTCGAAGGGGGGGAGGGGTTAAAATTTCTCCATTTTTGTGTACGTACTTTTAGAACGGCCTCCAATATTTAAGATACATAGATTCTTAATATAAGCCTGAAATTTTTTTTCAATTTCTTTCTAGAGTTGGTAGTTCCGCTCCATTTACTCGCCAGCCCTTCTGATTCTTTTGCAAAATTTTTTATTTCTGATTAGTTCAAAGTAAGTTCAATAACACTTTCTTATAACTTTTAAGAGAATTTAATTGAAGGAAAACAAATTTTTTATTAGCGAGCTAAAATTATCCAATTGAAAAAAAAAATACAATCGTCTTTTAATAAATATATTTAATTGCAATTTTAAGTTCATCAACCCCCTTTTAAAATTTTTTTTAAGAAGATAAAATCCTGCAAGTAAATAAATGGTTTTAGCACACTGAATGCGAATCTAATGTGTTTTTTGCTAACGTCGGCAGCTCTTCCGTTTTTTACCTTATTTAGTTTTTTTAAGTTTATAACCACCATTTCATTTTTCGTTAAAAAGAAGATTATTCGAAATCATATACTTATGGGGCGCTAGTACTTATTTGGTAGCTTTTTTTTAGGTCTGAATTAAAATTTAATAATATTATTATTATTAACTATTTTTGTTTTTATTTATGTAGTTATTTGGATTTAAACATTTAAAATTACAAACATCATAATTTAAATATAGTATGACTCACACGAAATTTAGTACAATGTACAACCAACACAATTTAGCACGAAAAAATACAACCTCAATAACTTTTTTTCCCCGGTTTTCAACGCAAATATTTTTTCTTCTTCTTTTTTTAAAGGTATGTGCTTGGGAATAATTCTTAAATATACAAATTAATCCATTGCTAACCGATAATTCAAAAAAATCAAAGATCAAATTTTTTCAAAATGAGCATACTTTTTTTGTTGAATCTACAATAATTAATTATTCGGAGCTCACAGTCGAAATTTTGTGACAATCGATATTGTTATTTTGGTATATCTTAAAGACTTTAAGTATGGCAATCAAAAAATTATTGCCCTCGGATATGAAACTCGTTATAACCAAGGACAACTTAATGCAGGAACTCATTTTTAATAGTTATTTAACTTAATACTGCGCAAAAATGTTTGATGCTTAAAATTTCGTAGTTTATAAATTGTAATTCCTTGAAATCTATCGCAAAAGTCTTTTTTTCTTCTTCTATTAAAAAACAAACTATTTGTTAGAACAAATTTTTCTCTCCATTATAGTATAACACTTCAACTTCTTCTCACTTGAAATTATAAAGCTTGTTTCCATCTTCCCCTCCAGGTATTTGGAAATCCTTAAACCAAAAAGAAATTATAAATGGGTATTTTTATTAACTAAATGATTTTCGATTCACAAGTTAGCATTATTATAACAAACATTATGAAATTTACTATGATATTTTGAAAGAAAATGAGATACATGAACCCACAATGACTGATCATGAACACGCAACGTAAAAATAGAATAGCTCGAAATAATTTAACTCAAAAGGTTTTTCCATGTTGTAAAAATGTCAAGATTGAGCAGTTCTAATTTTCTACCTGACGAAATAGTGAATAGATTTGCATCAGTGGTAGCAGGTCGACGGGCGTGATCTTATGACACTTGCACATGGTCGAAGTAATATGCGAAGAAGAATATCAAATCCGTGAAACAAACGTACATGCCATTGTCTTTTAAGAAAATGATGGCTTTCCGTCACCGGGAAAAATAATTTTCTTATGCTCTTGTTCGTACATATAGTCTGTTTGAAATTTTTTTTTGGTCTCTAAACTTGTAAATATACATAGACTATAACTGAATTTCAGTTTATCGACAGTTCTTATTACTTTTATAAAAATCGTAAGAAATAAAGTCAGCTTATAACTTAATTAGAAACTGCACCAGTTTATTGGATTTTGCAATGAAAAAGTTTTTTTAAGTTATACAGTTAAACGCTTTAAAACATTATAGTTTTATACGTAATATATTCGAAAGTATTATTTAGTCGTATCTAGATAGCAATAAAATTTATTACCTTCACTTTTAAGGTTTAGGAACTATACATATCAATCCCATAATACTGTTGCATTACAGAGTATCAATTTTCAAATTGTACGCAATTTACAAGATTAGGTAAACTTATATAACTGAAAAATTAAGTTGTTTTAGAAATAAACAATCAAATTAGTGAGAAATGTGCAAATATAAAAATGTGCTATTTATTACATCTTTCAAGCAGAATTTCTCAAGATTTTATTTTTACAATAAACTGAAATCGATAATAAAGCACATTTTTCGGCATAAAGAATTTTTGTTAATGTAATCTAGCTAATTGTGAAAATATATTATATATCACAAAAAGTTATGGTTTTATTCATCTTTTAGAATCATCATTAGAAATATGTTATAAAAATGAAAATAAAAATATTTTAATTTTTTAGAGGAAAACAGTTATAAATAATTTGTATGTTTAAACGCAATTTAATTGACTGAAATTACACCATTTAATTCGTGATTATTTACACATATAGCGCATTCAAATATACTCAAAATGTTTAGAGCTTTTTGAGAGATATTTTTATTTGGAAACTAAAATACTACTGTAAAATTAATCTATTAATGATTCATATTAATTTTATTTTTCTGCACTTTTTCTCAATTAAACACAGTAAGCATGATTAGGTATGTATGATCTAAAGTTATTTCGAATAAGATTAATTTCGTGATAATTAAAAATCATTTAGATATATTTTAAGTGTAGAAGAGTACTGAAAAGTAAGATTTATTTCCAATCAAAGGGAATATAAATGAACAAGTAAATGCTTAACAGGTGTAAAAATGCTGTTTAAGAAAATATGTTTCTTTATTATGTGAGAGAAATGTGTACTTTTTGAATATGTCTTTGCTCACATGTTCATCTTATTAGAGTAGAGTAAGAAAAAAGGAAATCGTCTTGAGCACTTAAAAAGTTCCCAGTTGAGTCACTATCAAAAAAATAAAAGAGTAAATAAAAAATGTATTTATGATGAAATTACAAGAAAACTGAAAGTAGTTACAGTGTAGCAAGCTTAATTTAAGGAATTCTAAAGAAAAAAGTTGAGTGAATCAGTTAACCTTGTTGCAGAATTTATTCGGGCTTTCTGTTACATACTTCTCTAATAATAATTCAAGATAATTTTAAAATAACAAATATACACGTTTCTAATTTAAAGTAACAGAAGCGTTAACTTCAAAAAAAAGGAAAAAACTTTTTTGATTAAATAAATTTTTTTTTTAATTGAATAAGTAATATTTTTTTAAATTCTAATTTTCTGGGCAATATTATTGTATTTTGTAGGGAGGGGGGCATTCTAATTATATCCTTTTTGCATTTTGTAAATCATCATATAAAAAAAATAATTAAAAAAAATCGTGAAATACGTAGCAGTAACTACCGTAAAAAAAAAGATTGACAGCGAAATCACGCGATTTGGACTCTTTAAAACAGGGTAACTAAATACGTGTTTTTATTTCGAGATTCAGTTGTAATCAATAATATCGTATTAAAAGTATCGGATTTTAAAAGCTATAAGGAAATAAATAATAATGAATGCATAAAAAATAGAAGAAAAATTTCTACGGAAAAGAAAATCAAATTATTTTACTTCCCAAAGGAAGAATCTTTCTGCAAGAACTCGGTAATGTTCTGCGACAATGTTGCCGTGATTCTGCCATGGGGTCAGTTAAAATATGATTTTATTCCGACAGGATCTTAATAAAAATCGATATAAATTCTCTTGATAAAAATCGACTTCTCTTCCTTCGTTATTGAAATTTGTAATATATATAACATCCAGACATGTGACACAACCAGTAGAAAAAAAAGAAGGCTGAAAAGGCACATAGATGCATATTTTAAGATTTCAATGCTGCACAATTACACAAAAATATATCAAAAGTACTGATAAAAAAAATACTGAAAAATCATGTTTGAAAATCTCTAACCTGTAATAAAATTGAAAGTTAACCAAGTGTAAATACTCACATATTAACCCTTTTTGGTCGTATTGTTTATACATGGGTGTTATGCTGGTCGGAATCAATTTACTTAAACACAATTTATAAAATATTTCTAATTCTACGTTTCTCCGAATTTTGTGGTCTTAATATATCAGTAAGGTTCTTTTCTGTGGTGGCTAAGACCAGAGACATACAACCGCAAAAGGTTAAATTAAATAATGTTAAAATGATGCTTCTCTAAGATATTCTTATGAGCCAGTTGAAAATTTTACTCGTGCTTTCTATATTTTGTTTTCAATTTGCTAAGAAAGAAGGTACCCTGTTGTGGTCACTATATAATTTTTAGTAAAGAATTCAATTATTATGTGAGAAGATTTGTAATTAACTTATTTTTGCTCACAAGAGAAGAGGTATGATCAAAAGGCTATGAGGATTATTCAACTTCTTTTATTACAAAACAAAAAATAAATAAAAATTATATATTACAAAATTAAATGTTGAAATTTTCTTTTATAAAATTCTTACTCAAGTGCTGGATGGGGGGGGGGATTTGTTATTTTTGCTAACGAGAGAGAGACAACAGTAAATCCAATTTTCTTTTCATTTCCCCCCTTAGATTTTGATTACTAAACATTTAAATACATTTTTTTAAAAAATAACTAAATGATGTTTAAATTTCAATGGATGATTTTCTTTTTACTCCACATGGTTAAACAAAAGAAATAGTGAATGTAGCAAGACACCAACGGAAAAAATACTGCAAAAAATGTTTGAACAAATCGTTTTTCGCTGTGAAACTGTTTGAATACCATTAAAAATAATAACACAAAAATATATGTAAATATTTTATTACAAAAAGATAAAAACAGCATCAATATTTTATAATTAGATATTTTTAGATGAATTGACATATGAAACTACACTAAGACAATGGCAGTTTGAAATACTTTGACACAACTAAAAGTTTTAAGGGCTGAGAAAGCTAAAAAAAAAAGAAAAAAGTCACAGCTGCTTAAGTTTTACGAGACTTTTAAATTATCAAGTTTTTAGCTTTAACAGCTTATTTCAACTTAATGTTCAGTAATAAAATTACTATTACGCTGTAATAATAAAATAGAAAAAAATTATCTTTTTCACTTGTACTAGTCACAAGCAAATGGATAAATACTAACTTTGAATAGTTATGTTAATGATTAACATAGATCAACATGGCATATAAAAAACAAATATGCAAAACAGTTACAATTCATGTAATAAATAGGCGATGATACGACTTATATATCTGACGAAAATTGCACAATATTTCACAATTAAATAAAGACATAAAAACGAGACTAAAAATTTAAACTATGGCAAAATTGAACACATTTTTTTAAAAACAAATACAATAAATTACAAGCATACATGAGTAAATTAGAAAGATTTGATACTTTTTAAAAAATATAAATATTTTGATTATTAAATAGCAATAATTATAAATTTTGATATTTCTACAGCTCAGTAGATAAAATAAACCAATACACATGCTTTTTTTAGAAATTTATATGTACCTAAACATTAGATATAAATAATGAAGTACTGCACAAAATTATAAATTAATAGTTAAAATTTTGATAATTAAAAACTCTGATATTTTTTGCGCTCAGTCCATAAACATGATAATCCAATACATATAGTCTTTAAAAATATATATACTAATAATTAGAACCAAAAACATGATGAAATACCACACAAAATTTAAATAAAATCTAACTACATTCTAAATAAAGTGCCCAGTCTATGATTAAATCTATTAATGATTCAAATCTATATTTTAAAATTATAAGCAATGTAGTAGTTATAAATATTTAAAATATTGATTGATCTTCTATTGTGAACAGTATATATTAACTGTATACTTCCAACAACACAAGCATTTATAAAATATAGGAACATAAGTTTTTCAGCACTTTAGTTGCTGAAACATTAGTACTTGGCTTGAATTATCACAGCACAGCAATGAAATGAAGACTTTATTATTCATAGCATTAGGGAGATTATTTGGTACTTTTCGGTTAGACAGATACAAAGAAATACATCGATTTTTCTTTTTAACTTATTTTCATTTAAATTATTTTATGAACACTTCCATTTTGTTCAGTGTTAAAAAAAATGGTAAAAAAAAAGTTGGCAGCATTTTTGGAGACTCTTCGCTTGTACCCAGCTAATAAAAAGATAATTTATTTAAAATAAGTAGTCTAGCTAAGTAGGTAAAATGAGATTTTATGTAGTCTAATGATTCATTATAATGCTAAGGCTTAAACAAAATAATGAAGTCTATGAAATAGACAATAATACTAAGATCATCACATTGAATTCTGAAACTCACAATACATATAAAAAATAGAACACATTTAAAAATGAATTTTCATAATGATATAAAAGCATTCATGAGATTAACTTGATTACTGAGATTTCGGTATACTGTATCAATACAATGATGATGTGATGACAAATAAAAGTCTTAAAATTGTAGAAAAAGTTAATTAAAGTGGTATTTTTTGTTGAAGGACCTTTCCAAATGTGATTTTGCAATTAAAATGAGACAGAAAGGTAAGCTAAGACTTCATACTTTTCTCTAAAATACAGCAGTGATAAAACACATTCAAGAAGGTTTTCACAAAAATATAAAAAACGTTGTGAAGCAAACTTAATAATTGAGATTTTTAGTAAACACTGCATCAATACAATATTGATGATATGAAAAACTAAACAAAAACAGTAATTTTAGAAGATGGTCTATTCTGTTTTATATTCGGTGACAAGTTTGATGATACGAAAAGAATACATATTAATTGTTCGAAAAAAACATTCAGACTTTACATTAAGAATACCTCAGTCATTAAATTGACTGAGAATGTCAAAAGCATTGATGAAATTAACTGGATAAATGAGATTTTGATAAAAATTGTATCAATACAGTAATGATGACTAATGAAAAAGTTTTATAATTCTCAACTACACAAAAGTTGTATGTTTTGAAGTTGAAGGTTTCATATAACCATTCTGTTCCATTTCTGCTGCCAGTTTGCTGATAACAAATCCATAATTGCTGGCATCAAGATTTTTAGACAGCAAATAAAGAATAAACCAGTCACTTAATTGAGATCGACCAACTAACCTATCCAGGGCACCCTTACTAGCATGTGGGGCTCTGGTCACCAAAACACAGTACCTAAACAGAGGCATTGCAGCAAGCATCAAACGATATGCCAACACCAAAACTGTCATGCCACAAAGAAATAGCATCCAGAACCACAGAAATATGAAAATTTTTTCATTCAGCACATTTAAAGGAAGGATGCATAATGCATCTACTCTTTGCACGTCTCCCGATGATCCATAATCATGAAACAGACATTTGGTCATGCGAGGAAATGCTTTTACCAAGGGATCCGTGCGATATTCTTGATCCCATTGGCTCCATTGCATAACCTTTATGCCAAAGGTTGTGAAGGTGCCTCCAAGAAAATTGTCTAGAATCCACATTTGACCCACTACATTGGCTAAAGTAAGGATCTCACAAAATATATACTTCTTGAAATAAGCACCAAAATGTCCCATGTGTAGATGTAAGGAGTGCGATAGCAAATTCACACTTTTGTCTCTTTCAGAATCTCTTAATAAAGGATCATGCAAATTCAGACTTAGAGCTCTGATTACGCCACTTTCCCAGCATCTCCATAGGTATCTTGGCAAATAAAACAGAACACCTTGAAGGAATAATACAATGGCAACCCATTGGTAATAACCATGGTACACTTTATTTTGTCCTCTGACGTAGCTGTCAATGCCTGGATGGGGGATGTGGACCCCCACCGTGCCATTCCAAGCATGGGGTAAAATGTAAGTTCCGTGAATCCAGCAAAAATTTTCCAATGCTTTTATGCGGGCTACATCTCGCTGTAAGCAGTGTATAGGATCTCCAAAATGTTGACGGCATGACAGCAATATGCTGCAGCAAAGTAAGATTAGAACTGTCCAACGAGAATGCAATCTAAACACAAAGCTGTCAGTGCAAAATTCGCGTGCTTTGAGAAGTCCTTTTAAATTGGCGAAAAGCGTAATCATAATCAAATAATAGCAGAAAACTTATTCAACTCGGAAAATATATTTGTTTCTTTTTTAATGGGAGAATACAAACCAGAAAACTGAAATGTTTTCTTAGTCCATCATTACAGTTTCTAAACATATGATGAAACACTTACTAGCGTATCATAATGTGCGACCTAACATCACTGTTTTGCTTTTGGAATGAAATATTTTAACTCCTCCCATCTTGCAATGAAATGAGTAATGCAAAATACGGTTATGATTATTTCAGAAAGTAGCACTGAATATATTTGTTGCTTTTGCGAACATGCAGTTTTTTAAGTCGATTAAGTTTTTTCAAATGCATTGCAAATTTTGTATACAGGAACGAAAACTCGTTAGTCGGTTCACAGTCTTTGATTTTTAGCAATCTGTATATTTCTTAATTTTTTTGCCTAATTTAATTAAATAGATGGTTTCAAATTAAAATTTAATAATTTTATAGATCAATATTACGTAAGTTTGCTTGTTGAAAGTTATGAAATATTTTCATTTTAAATAGAAAAATGGTTTAAGTAACTGTAGCTGGCTTCTTCTGTTATATCTTGTCGTCATAGAAACAACTAAACGAACAACAACGAATAATCAAAATGAATTTTGGAAGAAATAATTATTATTTTAAACCCTTTCCTGTCTACTTGGTTGCATTTTGTAGTAAATATTTGTTTCTTAATACGTTTTTTGCTCTTTTCACATAAAACTATTGCATGTACTATGCTTTTTTCTTCTCATTTTAGAGTTTATTAATACTATATTAATATTTCTCATTTTAAACTTCAATTGAACTTTCAGAATCTGCTCCGAAATGCTGTATAATTATTTGTAATATTAATTAAGGAAATGGAAACCTGACTTTGATTTTTTTCGTTTCCCTTAAATTTTCTACTGTGTGGTAAGTCGATTTTCTTCATAAAATGTAACACTTTTCATACTTCTGTTACATTATGTTCAGTTTACCCATTTAAACATTAGCAATTCTTAGTGAACATTTGTATGGAAAATGCATCTATGAGCAATTTTATTCTCCGTTTGCTCAAAAAAATATTTTTACATGGGATTTTAAACGTGAGTGCAATAATGTTGTACAATTAAATGTACAAAAACGGTCTTTATTTTATGTGTTTAAGTTTAAGAATTTCCTTTCCATTTAGAATAAATAATGAAGTTTCATGTATAAATAGACTGAAATGTAATAATACATTGTGTGGCCATGTAATGCCTTTTCTTTATTAAAGATAAAATTTTCCGTCTAGTATTAAAATTTTATTATTAAAAATTTAAAAAATAATAGATTTGAGTTAGTTTAAAAATATTTTTGTTCAACACATGGTTCGTAAGTTTCAGAATGTCAAATTTAGATTTTAACTTTGTTATTTAGAGCTACGTTTGATTATAGAAAATTTTTTAGTTTGTTTTTAACTTAATTTTTGAGGATAAAGTATCATTTGACAATACATGCCTTTCAAAAAGATAGAAAATTAAAGTGTCACAATATTAGGTTTGGAGAAATAGTACTTGGCAACTTTTACCTGTAATATTTTTCTTGGTAAGTTGAAATAGTCTAAATAAAAGATTCTGTTGTAAAAACTGGCAACAATTTTCTCATAGGTATTAAAATGGAAATCTTTTTGAAGTATGAACAGTTAATTTTAGGAAAATAATGATGATTGAAAGTAAATCATTTAATATATATAATATATATATATTTTACTTTGTTGCTAACATACTTTTCTCCCCTAATGCTTGAGATTGTTATTAAATTATTAAAACAGGGAATTTTCACAGTTTAATAAAGGTTGATTTTGTTTTTTATTTGTAAAATCAGAGGTTCCAGGGTTTTCTGGCTTTGACCCTATTCTCTCAAAATTAACCCATGCCCTCTTTCATTTTAATTTAATTCCCCTATGAGTGTGTACTAAAATATTTTTTAATAACTCTTCATCTATAAGTGACATTTTAAAGTTATTATTTTTATTTTGTGGAGAAACTTGTTGGTAGGAAAAAAATTTCCTGATTCCTTATTTTTATGAATTATAAAAACAGTATATTTTTATTATTAAACTAGCCGCCTAAGGCGGCCAGCTGTCCGCCACGCTAAAGGTTTTCACAAATAAAGTTTTTTAAAACATAGCAGGAAATCTGAAGATTAGTGGACAATTAAAGTGTTCCTCTCCTGCAATTTTGTCTCAAATTCCTATTTTATATATTATATAGCTACAACGCTTAAGAAAAAAAAAATTAAAATGCTAAATACATGAAAAGAACACGAAAACAAATTAATTTTTTATGGTATCTATATGATTTTTTATGGTATCAATTTCTATTTCTATATTGCTACAAAAATTATCGTCTTCGCTTATGAAAAAGAATAGAGCGTGGAAAGAAAAAAAACTTATTATAACAATTATGAACAGCGACAAATATATCGTTCTATTTACGTATCGAATATGTTGCCACATTTTTAATACAAAAGTTAAACTTTTCTCCACTTAGATAAAAGTAAACTAATGCGAACCTTACAATTCAATTATTAATTCCTTCGTATATTATTGGTTTAAGTTGTCGAGAATTAATATTTCAATTGTAAGGTTCGCATTAGCATACATTTATAAGAGTGGAGAAAAGTATATGCACTTTTTAATAGTTTTTTGAATATGGCTCTTTGAAGACGAAAAAGCATAGATTTTCTTACAAAATGACTGATAACTAAAAAACTAATCCAAATTTTTGAAAAAGAAAAAAAATACTTCTTCATTATGTCAAAACACAATTATGTGCCGAGTTTCGTGCCTGGGCGAGGCTTCTGGGGCGATATATTGTGATTACAGACAGACACACACACAGCCGCGTTTATTATTATGTATAGATGTATAGATTATTAATTATAAAGTGTCTAGAGTACAGTTTGAGTATTTTTAATTTTGAAATTTGGTCTTTAATAATAATGTGTTTTTTTGTTTTTAACAAAAAGTAAGAAGTACGAAGTTTATTGAAATTTTAGTTGTAGCTAAAAAGTTATAATTAAATTGACTTTTTCTTGAATCTAAACAGACTACAATTTATCGAAAGAACATGATTAAAGTAGTTTTCATGAAGAGAATTAACAACTTTTCTTTTCTTGTGAATATTCTTTTATAAACTGAAAATAAATGCGGAAGTATCTATGTCATTTAACTTAGTGGGCATCACAACCATCCAGTGATTCAGTTTGTAGACATTGAAATACACAGTTTAAGTTGTTTTCTAAAATTCACATCCCCCCCCCCAATTTTTTTTTTTAAACTTTTAAATATTTACTAAAAGATTTAAAAAAAAATTATAGCTTGTTTTTAATATAACTAAATTTAAATGTGATAAAGAAACATGAAAATTTTCTCCAGTTGTATAAAATAATATTGATGGTGACTTTTTAATTATTATTATATTTTTAACGGCAGGCACTGAACTTATCATTCTTTGCTATGGAAGGTGCCGGAAGTGTGGCTCATTTAACGTTGCTCGGTGAGCACCTTGTGATCAATGCCACAGAGGCGAGCAACATTACCCATGCCTCACTGTAATAGGCCATAAGGTCTCCCACATGCACACATCACACAACGGAGGACATGCAGAGAAAAACATCCATGCCCTGAGTGGGATTCAAACTCACAGTCATTGGCTTCATAGTCGGAAGCACTAACCGCTTTGCCACCTGGCCAGCAGATTTTTAATTATTGAGGGGGACAAATACTCACCGTTCTCCATGCTAAGAAGGTCCACATTTAAACTCTTTCTTAAAAGTAATACTGCCATTTTTTAGCTTTAAATTGATATTTCCTTACTGAAAATGATTTCTGTAAATAAATAGACACAGGGGTCAACGCATGTTTAGAAAATTAGGCAAAACTATGGATTAAAATTTTTTAAAAGTAAACTTCACTCATTACATTACGTTCTTTATTCAATAGAATTTAGTTGTGATTATTAAATTCAAATCATTCCTTTTTTTTAAAGAAAGGTATCTTCCTTACTATTTATAATAGAAATAAGGCCTATGTGTAACGATATAACTTTGGTAAAATTTTTACTTGGATTTTAATTATGTATTTCAAAATGTGTATGTTTTAAGATTTTAGTTGGTGTTCACACTTTCTATTATATAACATGGAAAGAATATCACATATTTACTATAAAATATAATTATTAAACATTTTGATGTTTTTTTCTTTCTTTTAATAAATAAATATTTGTATATATTTAGATTAAAGAATGGAAGAAGAGGAAGGGAAACAGTTAGAAGAGAATGAAAATGAACCAGAACCTGATAATAAGGTTGGTTGCCAAGATTTTCTATAATTCTTGTATAAAATAAAGTTCCTCTCTTCATACATGTTTTTTTTAGACAGCTTTCTTTCGATTATAAAAAATTGTTAAAACACTTTTTTCTTGAATTTTTTTGAATATCTGGTAGTTTAAAATAGGATAAATTTCTCCCCACATTGTGTGAGCTCATCTCATTACCTCTTATCCACATAATGGTTATGTTCACTTTTCTTCACCAAAAGACATGAAATAAATGTTTCTGAGGCAGATGGTCTTCCATTTATTCTTATGCAGGCTACACACTGAGGAGGCAAGCAGTAAGAATGAGGCATATTGCTATTCTCTCACATGTCTTTTACTTACCGCTTGCCTTCTCAGTGAGTCTTAAGTTTTTAATGTCCTATTAGCGTTAAAAAATGTTTTATTAACATAGTCTTAGTTGATGCTTCTGTTTATATTTTGGGGACTTGACCGTTCCCTCTTTCATACTTAAGATAATGATACCCTAGTACACACCAGATCAATAAAAACAAATTTATAAGGTCTTAGCTGCTGTTGCATTTTCCTAAAATAATGATATTTATAAAATTGTATGTTATTTATATATTTTTTTACAATTTATTTTCTTTGCATTTATTATTTTCTATTTCTTATAGATTTATATTTTTATAATTTTTTTACTATCAAAGTATGTAATTTATTGGTCAAAATCATTAAAGTTTCTCTAGTTCCCAAAAATATAATAGTTTAAATAATCTTACGACTTTAAAAAACTGTTAAAATTGCTTTTTTGTTGTTGTTGGAAATAAACTACTTCTATTAAAAATTGTTCAAATTAGTTTTGGAATTCTAATTTTAAAGTTTTTAGCTTAAATTTTGTGTTGTTTAGCAAGGAAATTCTTATGACTTTTAAATCAAATGTTATACAAAGTTTTATATTGTACTTGCATACAAACATATTGAAGTATAAGTATTGCATGTAAAATTTTTAAGGTATTTGTCTTTACTGTAACGTTTGGGAGATTTCACACTTTTTTGTTACTTTCCTTGTGCTTTCGTACACAAGATTTGAAGTAACTGCTCGTGTACACTTGAAGTGCACTTTCATCACATCTGGTTAAATGCACATGTGCCCGTGGGAAAAAATTTAATTTATGTGTATAAAAATAAGAGATTTTGGCAAGATTTCATAAACTAAAAACTTTAACATTTTGGAATATCATTGAAGTCTCAGATTTTAGTTTATTTGTTATTTCTCATAAACCCCTTCCTTATGCTTTTTTTTCCAACTACTATTTTCTCTCGAAAATTTTTTCTTCTTTTTTCTTACAATTTAAAATAGTAATCTTAACATATGTTTACATAATTTTAAGTTGTCACCTATGTCTGGTATTCCTCGACCTCTCTCCCATTCAATGCCAAGACCACCTTCTCGCCCTGCTCCCTCAGCTAGAGTTCGAGCATTGGGGAAAGAAGAATTAGAAGATGTAGATCAAAATTCAGAAGAAGAAGATGATGAGGAAGACGATGAAGAAGATGATGAAGATCAAGGCATCCAAATTGAAGGGTATTCTTTTTTTTACATTCCACATTTAAAGAAAAAATGGAAGAAAATACTTTCATTACAATATACTAATTCCTGTTCTTTTTTTTTTGCTGGTTTACACACAGTGTTGACGTAGAGTAGTAATAGGTGTATCTTTGGCTCAAATTTGAATTCCTGTCACTTAAGGAGTGTCTCACAAAGTCATTGCATGATCATTGTCAGAATAATTCATTTCATAAATTAAAAATTTATAGCAGTTAAGAGTTAAACACTGTTCATGCACTGTGTTTATTGATAGTTCTTTGTTAACATTAAAAAAATCTGGTTTATTTTGCTGTTGGCGTATTCCGGGTAGTCAAATGGAGTAAACAGCAAAAGTTTTTCTATTCAACTTTTATTAGGAGCTAAAAATTGCTAAATTAGACAAATATCAGTTGATATCTGGTGTAGGTTCTGATCTTACAAAATTTTTCATTTTTATGTAATGATCTTATTGTGCAAATTAATGTTTTATCTAATTTTATTGTCTGTATTTTTTAGCAAAAGATATTTATATATTATGAATCAGGGCTCTGATAATTATTATAATTATCAGGGCTTTAGAACAGATAAATAACCATAATATTTTAAAAGTTGTTTAACTTTTTTGAAAATTCCCAATTTTCCAACATTTTTCTATCTAGATGAAAATTAATGCCTTATTCTCAGTTTCTGAAGATTTTTATGAATTCAAGTAATGCTGCATTGGAGTAAGTTTTGAAATAGTAAAAAATTAGACCACAAACGCCTTTCATTTTCACAAAACTGTTGTTTTTCTCCATTTCTCCATAATGACGTTTTGTGCCATTTTTAAAATAAGAAGCCCAGGCTTTAGATTGGCTAAACGTGACCTAACAGTCATGAGTAACAGTTGCAAACTCACAGTACTGATAAAAATAGCTTATCATTTGTAAATAAGCATAATTTCATATTGCAATGGAGCCTTCAAAAAACAACCATAAGAAATCCATTAGGTGATATTTTCTCTATAAAATGCATTATAATTTTGTGACTTTTTTGCAAATTTTTTAATTAAACTGTTTATTTAAGGTCCATCTGAGATATTTAGCCTAATAACAAAAGGATATTTACAAAATTATACACATTTTTACAAATTTGTAACAATATAAAGTTGGCAAAAGCTTGAATGCAGTCACTTTTTCTTTTATTTAAGTTTTTCTTTTTTTTTCTTTTTAAGTTCGTGTTGCTATGTTTATTTGAAGTGCACTTATATTATTCTATGACACGTCTTTTCTTTAATTTAAAAATAGTTCTGTGCTTTGATAAACTTTATTATTTTTTTGTCACAAAATGCTTATTATTTGTGCAAGTTTATTATCAGCATGTAACAATTTGCATGTTTTTTTAAATTTTATTTATGCATGCTTTTATTAATATATTTACAATTTATATTTTACTGCACTTCTTTTTTTTTTACTTTTGCATGCTATCATCTCTTCCTTTGGATGCATATTTAAATAGGCCACTCATGCATGTGCCTCGTCTTAGACGAGAAAAAGTTCGCTGGGGTCGAGAATCACCCATACATTGGGCTGTAGGCAGAGAAAGACTTTTACCAAGAAGAATTGATGGCCGTAGTAGTTCAGATAGTTCTGCAAGTGATAGCTTGTCTCTATCTAACTCTAGTTATCACTATGAAAATATTAGTGAGGAAATTCTAACCAAAGCACAGGAACATAGAGACATATGCTATTCTGAGTTACCTTATAGTGCTAAAAGGTATAGGTCTTAAATCTATTTCATTCAAATTTTTTAAGAGTTTCTTACCTTACTATATTTCCTAAGGATTAAATCATTTTTTAAACTATATTCTTCCTAGTGCTAATCATCTATTAATATAAAGTTGCTGAGTAAGTGCATACTATCTTTAAATCTAAACAATGTCTTGTATTTAATCTTGCAACTTCCTTTGCTACCTAAGCATGTTAGGCATCTTCTCTATGTTTTTTTTATGCTGATTCAAATGAGAACCATGGTTCAAATGTCTGGACAGTTTAAAGATTTTAATGCGTAAAAAATATGTTTGACTATTTGCTATCTAACTTTGCTATTTGGTCAAGTAATTTTTTTATCCTTAAGTGATTAAGATCAAAATAAGTATACAAAACTAATAGTCTGATAGTTCAAAAGTTGTATGGATTTTTTTTTGTATAAAAAGTACTATTTCTGAATTGTACTTTTGATGAATGAAATCTTAATAATTTCTAAACTAAAGAGTGTTCCAAAATTTACGCAAGATTTGAATTAAATAGAAAACACAGTTATTTCAATTATAATTTTAACTGAAGCATAAGTACATAGAATAGGGTTGTGTATGGAATAGCTCACCAGGCTAATGACCTCCATGGCTTTGCTGACTCATGCACACTCTTTAGTTGAAATTTTCTATGACCATTTTGTATAAATGTGTCTAAATTTCATTTATGCAGCCTTAAATATACTTCTTCAATGCATGGGTAGTTGTGGGCTTATTAATATACACCTTTAACTTCAAATAACCCCATGGAAATACTAGGGCACCAATTCTGATCACCAGAACATTAGAGTATACGATGAAGAGATGTCACATGGATTGTTTCATAGGCTTTCATCAATGAAAACACATTTTTTTAAAACTATAGTGCTGCATTTTGCAAACCCTTAACCATCAGTTGCCTGTTTTCTTTTTATGGTTGCTATTTGCCAACAGAATAATAAATTTTTTTATTTAATCAGTATGTTGCTTAAATTTTGGGACACCCTTTATATATGGTATTGGCTCATATTTGACTCATGCATAAAAATGCTTAGAAAACAATGCCACATCTCTTGAATAGCAGTAAAGTTTCCTTTTAACCCCTTTATGGATAAACCTGATGTGAAAGATTATGCAATTTTGTATTACTTTGAAGAGGGTATTTTACAGTTTAGCGTAGGGTAGAATTCTTTTTGAATGACATTTTTCTATTATATTTACTGTACTAATGGTGTTATTAGATTTAAAGCTTTATTTGATATATTTTCTGAAACATTGAAGGCAGTTTATTTAAGCAATTAGTATTTTTTTAAAATAGTATTTAAAAATATTTAGTACTTCAGAATGTTAATTGCATACTTGAATCAATGAAAAATTGATTGGTATAACTTATATACTGTCCACATTTTTTTAAAAATTTCTTAATGAGTTGCTATTTTATATTTTATTTATATATGCTTCCATTTTCAAAGTTATGTGTTTTTCATGTCATTTATTTATAAATGTAGTGAGCAATGTTTAGAGATGATTTTAAGCAATAATTAATTTAATTATATAATAATTCAATTATTGCTGACAGTTAAATAAAGAAATATTATGTGTTTTTATAGCTAATATTTGCCTTAAATCACACCTTAATCTTAATTTTACAGTTTTTGTAATTTATGACAGTTCACATTTCTGATTTTTTTAAATTGTGGTTTTATATTTCATGTGGTGTAATATAATAATGTTATATAACATAATATCTCATACTTTTATAAAATTTAGTCATAGATAGGTGAAAAAAATATGTGTTTAATATCTAAGACATATTTATTAAAATTTATTTGTGTTTATACCGGATTGCTTATTTTTCTCTCTTTGGTTTTAGTAGGCTATATTAAAATATCTATAACAGTTTCAGGAGAATGAACCTAAAAAAGACTTTTTAAGTACTTCTATAGGCCTCTAATATCTTAAATCTAGGATCCACAGCAGGTAAGTTTCTAACAACTCAAATGTCAGTAGATGACAACACACATTTTTCTGAAAGCAGCCAATGAGATCAAATGTTCAGAAGTGAGGAGATTCAAAATTACAGTCAGTAGTACAGAAGATGAAAGAGAAAAAGTTAATCGTTGAAATAAATATTGTGTAGTACGAAATGTTTATTAAAACAACATCTGTGGTTATAACAATTCAAAGGCCTCACAAGAAGCATAAGTACTATGGTTATGCAATATAACCAACCTAAAGACTATTTAAAAATTTAACATTTTTCTATTAAATAATAGTAATTCTATTTAATAATATAATTTTATTTTGGTTTAATTTATTATAGTTTTTTTTATTTAATATATCTTACTGAAATTACTGATGAAATTAATACTCTGCATTTAACTATAATATTATGTGATTTAGAGCTTATGATCCTGCTGATTTTGAACATCTACAAGTTTCTGCTGAAATGAAAGAATTATTTCAGTACATCACAAGGTATTATATTCAAGCCTTTTAAGGTCACAAAAGTTTAAAATTCTATGTCTTCTTATTATTTCTGAAAAAAATTTACAGGTATACACCTCAAAATATTGATCTTGATACTAAGCTGCGACCATTCATTCCTGAGTTTATTCCTGCAGTTGGTGATATTGATGCTTTTATTAAGGTAATTATTCGACAATTTGTGTATAACTTTATATGCAGTTATTGTTTTGCTTTAAGTGTATTAAATTTTCTTGTTAAAATTATCAATATCTTTACTAAATCTTATTCTTAGAACAATTGTCAAAGATAGGTATTACTCTTTTGATGCAATGATTTTCAGAATTGTAATTTTAATAGTTTGATGTATAATTTTTTTATCATTTAGTTCTGTTACGAGTCAAATGGATGGAGATAGTGGGGGAAATTCTAAATATGTTTTTAATCATCTTCATTGAATTAACTGTTATTGGATATTTACGCTATTTGGTGGTGTTTTTCAAAACATGTAAAATACAAGGCTGTGATGTTTTCAGAATTTAAAATATAAAGCGTGTGTCAGTTTAGATTCTCTACTCATTTTTTTCTGACAAAATTTTGCAATCAACACTTTTTGAAAAGTAGTTTAACATCATACATTTTGCTGTTTTTAGAATTTTTAGGAAATATCTTTGTTTTTGTGTAATTTATGTTGTGGCTATTTCCTGCATTATCCAAATTGTAAATTTAAATTTAATTATAATTGCAGTATACAATCATAGTAAATTTTAATAAATGTAAAAGCAGGCAAATGTACTATGTAAAATGGTCTATCCATTTGAGGAAAAATTCTTGGATGTTCCAGAAGTTATCATGTGCTATTTATCTTTATATTTTAAAAAGATTCTTAATTTTTGATTTTTTTTAAAAAAGATTATTTTTCTGTCAATGTCTATCCTCAAAAGTAAAGTTAAGCTGGTGACTTTACTGGGAGAAAAATCAGTGTTAATGTTTTCTTATGTTTTTCTAACACAGCAGATTGTTTTTTTTTCTTTTAAAACTACCTTTGTCTTTAAAAACGATAATCTTAACGAATTGCATTTTTTCAAGCATGTATTAATTACAGTAATTTTCATTTTATATTCACAAAATCAACATAAAGGTTTATTTTTGTAAGTATTATTGCATGAAAATAGTTATCAAGCTGCATTTATTATTTTAAATGTTTTTTGGCTATTGTTATTCAAGTCTTTCACTGTTCAACAAATTGATAGTTCCACTTTTTGAAATAATTTTGGTTTACATGCTAAATCATTTAATCAGTCACCTATCTTTTACTTCATCTTTTCTGTTTTTCAGTGTTAATCAATTTCAGCAGTGAAATGACTCACATGAAAATAATATATTTTGCAATTATAGTTTACAGCTGCTGCAATATGATACTAAATATTAAAAAATATAATTTTAGGTTCCCAGACCTGATAATGTTGCTGATAAGTTAGGATTGATTGCTTTGGATGAGCCATGTGCTAAACAATCTGATCCCACAGTACTAGATTTGCAACTTCGAGCTATTTCCAAAGAAACTACTTTCAAATCTGTGGTAAGTATATAATTTTTTTCTTCAATATTTTCTTTTCTTTGTTTTTAATTCTAAAAACCTGGAAATCAAACAAGATACTGGCACAAATATGTAATTGTTAGTATATGGTATAGTCATGAACGTTGTTGTAAGATCATATTTTTGTTTTGCCATTAGAGAATTAGATATCATAAGTTTTAAGTTATAGATGCTTAATACATCTTAGATAAAAATCAAATATAAAAATTGCACCAAATTGAATATAAATTAAAAAAATATTTTTTTTTGTGCCTTTTATATATATATATATATAAAGTTTTTTCTGCCCTTTTATGAAGAATTACACAATATAATTTTAAATTTTTTATTGTTTCTCATAAATGATTTGGTTTGAAGTAATTTGGTGTAGTTTAATTAATTTGACCTGACATTATAATTCATTTCCACATAATGCATGGAAATTTTATTTTAAAACTTGTAAGAACCTCTTTGTTGAAAATATTATTTTCATATTATATACTTAGTTTTAGTATCAAATGTGTTAAAAGTTTAATTTTACAAAATAATAATTTTTTTGCTTTCAATCTCTTGATGTTATTTACGAAACTTTTTTAAAAGCTAGTTTAAACCTTTTAACTTTGGTTTGCTTTTAATTCTTCTATTGTTGAACTTTCACTTGTACTTACTTTTACAGGGGTCATATTTGCCTTGATATTCCTGATAAAAATTTTGTCCTTATTTGTCCTGATTTTCGAGTGTGTTTGCAGATCATTTCATTTTATACTACAAATGTGGATTTTAAAATGATTGATCTGGAGAATTGAATAATTTATGTTTCCTCCAACAGCTTTTTATTTTAATTGATAATGTTATTGATGTCTGCAAAATTCGATAGTTCAAACTTAGGGATTGTTCACTTATTATATATATATATATGATTAAGGCATATAGTTTTACTTGTAGGATTTACTGTTTTAAACTTTTGTGAATTCTGACATTTTATGAAAAATAAACTCAATTAACAAGTTTACATTTTCAAATTAAGGTGATGAGTTTAAGGATTTTGCATTTATTTATTATTTACAGCAAATTCAGTAAGATTTTTTTATGGTGGAGTTTCTTAATTAATGATTTATTTTTATCATCCAATTTTGAAAATGATCAATTCAAATCTACAATGCAGTAATAACATCATTGAATTTCTAATTGGTAAATCAAGGAATAATCCGCTAAATTATTTTTATTCAAAAATGATCAGAAGCATATTTGTGTTTTTTTCTGATATTATTTTATTTTTATTTCATATTTCATAACTGTCGTTAAACAGCAGACCCAATTTAGGGTTTACAACTACTAATGTTCAAATCTGTGGCCTTGTAATTTTTGACTCAATCCAGAAAACAAGGAAACTCCTGGATCAAGTATTGGGAGAAATTTGCGTCCATGGAGAACTTTTTGATGGAACTAATCGGCTTTTGCGCTACATGGAGAGGAAATCCACAAAGGCCTCCCATGGTTGTTGACTACAAGGGGACTCTAACCCGTGATACATCTACCACTGAGGATATTTCACGTCAGCACTGTAGTTGGTGTGAGCTGGGTGGGGAATTCGTATCGATCAGCTATCGCTGGGATTCAAATCCGGTTCACCTCATTGGAAAGTAGACGCTCCATCCCCTGAGTCACTGACTGAGGCTGATCTTCTGACTTAAATTAAACTTTTCTTTAAAATTATGTGATTAAGAAAGTCATAATTTCAATTACAAATTTTAATTAAATATTGAGTTAAATCAAGAGCGCTGTGAACATATATTTTTGGAAAGGGGAGAATTACCATTTCGCCACATAAAATTCCTAATTTGACCAAATCATAAATAAACACAAGCAAAAATACTTACAATAAACAGGCAATTGGAGGTACTCTAAATCACTTTTCTAGACGAAACTAAATAACATTTTGAAAAAATATATATTAATACCTTTAATAAGTATTTTTAAATTTGCAACAAAAGTAAAAAAAAAAGTCTTTAAAATGGTGGTCTCAAATTAGAGGAGTGTAAGAAGAAGACAAATCTAATAAGAAGACAAATCTAATAAGCAACAAGGCAGGCTTGATTGTGGGAAGAAACAGAGCCATATTGTGAAACATGATTTTTTGAAATACTTTTCACACAATCAACAGGCAATTGGAGGTACTCTAAATCACTTTTCTAGATGAAACTAAATAACATTTTGAAAAAATATATCTTAATACCTTTAATAAGTATTTTTAAATTTGCAACAAAAGTGAAAAAAAAAGTCTTTAAAATGGTGGTCTCAAATTAGACGAGTGTAAGAAGAAGACAAATCTAATAAGAAGACAAATCTAATAAACAACAAGGCAGGCTTGATTGTGGGAAGAAACAGAGCCATATTGATTTTTTGAAATACTTTTCACACAATCCAAATTTTTACTTGTTATGATCATAACGTTATAAAAGACTGTTACACAAACATTTAGTCTCATTATATCGGATGCCATCCTGATAAGGATTTAAAACAATATGTACTTAATTGCGTAAATTATTATATATTTTTAACTTATATAATGCATTATTATTGATGGTTTATGACCCATAGCAACCCATTAAGAAACACGCATCAAAGTGGCAGATTTATTTATTTTCTAGCCAATTATGTAAAAAAATTAGTTTAAAATCTTCATTGATCAAATAAGATTTTAAATCAAAATAATAGTATTTTTTTATTGGTTTTATGGCCTAAATTCAAAAGTACTCCGTTTGAAAGTATATTCAAAATAGAAATGAATGTTTTTTTCGAATATAAAAGAAGATTTATTTCAAAGTAATATTTTAATAAATTTTTTGCTTATTGTCCAGTGAAAATGAGTAAGCACTATGACCTAATTCTTACGACGATACTGAATTAATTGTTAGTTCTCCACTTCTCTAACATAGTATTCACACCAGTGAATTTTAAGAAATTCCTGAGAAATATATTATTAAATTGTAAAACTGTAAACTGTAAATAAAAACTGTAGCTTGTAGAGAAAAATAGATTGCAGATTTAAAATCAGCGGCATCAAAAATATCTAAGAACCATTCAGAAGTCTCAAATGGAAACTAGAATATTAGAAAATTAATAAAATTATATTATATTTTATCTATTTAACATATTGAATAAGCATATTTTTAAGTCTAAATCAGTAATCAAATCAAGTTTATTAGGAATTGATGAAAGAGATTTGCTACAACCATAGAGTTAACTAATTTCTTTTGTACAAAAATACATTCTTTTGGTCATTGTTCGATTAACAAATAATAAACAATGTGTTATGCAGAAGAAGTGAGCGAATACAGAGTAGAAGTTAAATATTCTGTGCATCATGCTTTAAACTGAAAATGTAATGTAAGCTAAAAATTTAAAATTAAAAAAAAACTTTTTTTTTCTTTGAATTGAACATTTTAAAATATATTAATTTGACTGATAATTTGATAGAAAGCCGTAATCTTTGAAGAATTAAATATACATGAGAATGTATTTCATTAACTTGATAAAAATGAAGTACCCTATTGTTAATATTTTTATAGTGTTTCTTTTTTTTTCACCAACTCATTGCTGATTAAGAGATTTTATACTTAATTATTCTTGTCAATAAATAAAATAATTAATGAACCATTTGATAAGTAACTAATAAAGAGGAATAAATAAATTCGTAAAGTCAAATAAATATAATTAATGATTTTTCTATCGACTGATTTCATTTCCTATGATTTGTTAATCGGAAATGGGGCAAAATACCGAATATGAATCAAATATTTTGCTGCTCATGCTTCAGGAAAATTTAGGTTTCACTAAAGGAAATTAGAAAATAATTAAAAAAAAATTGATTATAGAATTGAAAATTTTATTAATTTATTAAAATTACATTCACTTGTTGAATTCAAGAAACAGGGTAATAAGCAAAATTAAAGTTATTATTTTCAAATTACCTTTGGTAATTCGCATTTTGAATTAGTCTTTCTTTTCTCCCTGCATCGAAAGGATTTGAAGGTGCTCCCAACATTTTAATCATCTGGTAATTTCCATTGTGGCAAAATTCTGACTTCGATACAATCAAACTGTATCTAGTATTTACCAATTCACTGTCATGTTATATATTTCTATTTATTTACCTTTTTTAGAGGAAGAAGTAGTGAGTTATTTAGAACCTAATCTCACAATTTTATTAGGAAATGAGATGTGTGTCGCGAATGTTTGATTTGAAATGTAAAGAAGGGAATAGATTTGCAGGAGACACGAAAATAGCGTAATGAATACATGACCCCTATCTTATTTTTCAATGATATGTAAAAAAACTAGAAATACTTAAGAATTTCACAAATATTTTTTAAATATAGAAAAAAAAGAGGAGAGAGAAAATGAAATTTCATAAATTTGCTGAATGGTTAGACAAGATTTTCTGAATGGAGAAAATCTTTGGGAGGTTGCAAACCTCCAGTGATATCCCAGTCTGTTGCCCCTGGGTGAAGTTTATTTTTTTAGTGCTATAAAAACTTTCTGTGTATAACTCAAATGATTTTAAGTTGCTCAGTGTTCTTTTAATAAAATTATAATTAGGTAGAAAAAATTGTACTTTTTTTAAGTTTGATGTTTTTGCTGTTTTTCAAAGTTGTCTGTTAGGTATTTTTTCAAAAATGTCATAGTTTTTTTCTTTGGTCCACTATGAGGTCCGCAATCAAATCAAATTAGATATGTTTTTATGAAATTGAGTGACTCTTCTACATTTTACAGATACTATTAAAACTTTTTATTTGCTGTAATTTACATGCACTGGTTCAATTATTTTTAATGCTGATGCTTTTTTTAAAAACCAACTTAATATCATTCTAATATTTATGTCTAATTATTTTCTACAAGAGGAAAAATTAAATATACCAGTGGCACTATTATTCAAACTTTACTTTTACAAAGTTTACTTTTTTCTGCTAAATAAATTGTCATTATGTGTTTGCTATTATTTAAGATAACAAATCTAATCTGAAAATGAAACTAATTTAGAAATGCAGAAAAAAACAGAAAGGTAAATTAGCAATTAAAACATTAAATCAAAATGGAAAAGTCCCTTAAGCAGCTAAAACCCAATTTGCTTTATTTTAATTTAGATATTCAAAAAAACAATTAAAGCAGGAAAAAGCAATAAAAAAAAGTAAAAGATGTGTGTTGGCAAGAAAGCACTTTTAGTATTGGCAGTGTGTCCCCAGATAAAGTGCTGTCTTGCCAACACACATATCTTTTACTTTTTTTATTGTTTTTTCCTGCTTTAATTGTTTTTTCGTCTAAATTAAGATAACAAACTCATAATTCAATAAGCTCATAATTCAGTTAGGAGGTCAATGTGAAATTGATGATTAAAAAAATTTTTTTTTGAATTAAAATGTAATCTGAAAATATGAGTTAAAAAATAACAAATTTATATCTTGAAATAAGAGATTATTCGTAAAAAAAAAAGTTGTCTATTTATGCTATTAAGGTAAAAAGTATTAATTTTTAAGTTTTAATTCAGGAAAGTAACATTTTCCTTTATTGATTTCATTCTTTTATTAATTTATGCAAGTTTATATTAATGACAAAGTTTAGTTGTTCTACAGATTATAAAACTTGGTTTTATTGTTGATATTTTCGATTTGTTTTCAGTTTTTAAATATTATTTTACGATACCTACTATTATCTGAATCATTACAGGTAGTGAAAAGTCTAGAAAATGCAGACAAACGTCCTAAAGAAATAGATGCATGGATTAACAGTATATCTAATTTGCGTAGATCGAAGCCACCCCCTACAGTTCATTATTCAAGGTAAGCTGATACATTACTATTATTTTTTTTGCAAGTTCACTGTGTCAATACTGCCTCAGATTTATTCGCTGTTCAATGAATATATAAAGAAAAGCCAGTATCGTTTGTAATTTTGTATGGCAATTAAGAAACTGCTGTTGAAGAAATGCTTATAATTATAAAGCAAACATAACTATGCGGAATAACCCTACTTACATTAATGTATGTATGGTGTGCAAAATAAAAAAAGGTATCACCTTACATAACTTTGGTTGTAATGATCGGATGTGCACAAACTAACTACCAATCTTTATGGTTCAAAAGGGTGGCCTTGCATTTACTAATTACTTTGTGCCAACAGCAATTTAGGTTGCAGAAACAGCCACAAAAATGTACTTTCTCTAAATAAACATACTTTTTTTTCCTCCGAAGTATTTGGTTTTTTGGCCATCAAAATATGGGAGAAATATGATTCTAATAATTTAGGCAAAAGAGTAGTCATAGGTTTTGTCACAGTTGCACTTGGTGTAATGTTGCAATTCATTCTTTATTTAAATCTTTTCTTTTAATTTTTTTAAACCTTTATTTACCTATAATTTTGTAACAATTTGAGTTTATTCTATGCGAAATTCTCAAGTGATTTTTTTTCATTAAGGAATTTTTTCTCAATTTAAATGTTTTGTTTAAAGATTATCAGTTTGATGTACACATGTAAAATTAGAATTAAAGGAAATCTGAACATATAGTTTAGATTGTCATCATTTTTGTGCTGGTTGTGTTATTCCTCGTGTATGCAGTGAGTACATTTTGTTGTTTTGAGGCACATGTTTGTTTTAATTGGAAACATCCCATCACTATCTTAAATGTTATGCTTGTAATTGGATATAGCAAGACATATTATCTGGACCAATCTGTTCAGTGTTAACCTCACGTATTGTGGCCATTGAATTTATTGAGTTTTTGCTTTTCCTGCATTTTCACGATTGTTTTGTACTATCACTTTTTGTAAATGATCATGTTCCCCTTTATTTAATTAGTTTGGATCCTATATCCAGCTTAATTTTGTTTGTTTGTTTTAATGTTATTTTTCATTCAATGATTGATGAATAATATCCAAATCCAAATATAATTTCGTTCCATTTCAATTCATAAAATTATTATTGTAATGGGTTTTCTAATATAATTCTGAAACCACCATTAAATCTATCATCCATCAATACAATTCATTCATCCATTATTATGTGAGTAAAATGTTTAATTTGCAATAATGACGTCTACATTATTTAAATTTTCATCTGCAACAAAACAATATTACAATCATTATTTTATATTACTTTTATTTTGTAACGGGTTTGAATCCCTTAATATTAATTAAACTTTTTTTCATACTAATTATTATAAAAAAAGTTGTATTTTTAAATTTTTATTTCTCTAGAACTATATGGCCCATTCCACTAAAACTTAGCATTTTGACAAAGTTGCACAAAAAAAAAGCATTAAAATTTGTATACCGTATAATTCAAAAATTTTTTGATCATCATTAAAGTAATAAATAAATATAATATTTAATTTTTTATGTCGCATTGTCTTTGGATAAATGAGAAATTCTGTGCAAAATTATTTAATTATCTTAAATAGTTTTAAAGATATCCTGATATATACAAAAAGTTAAAATAACATCAAAGAGGCCAAACTTTGACTTCTCTTTTGCCTAAACTATTAAAACTCTATTTTCCGAAATGCTGCTATCCTTTTCATCTTTTTAAAACCATTAAAAAGGTATATTTAAGCCAAGAAAGTATGCTTTTGTGATTGTGCAGACAATATTTTAAATTATGGAAAATAAGTATTTTAGTGTGTGTAAGGTTATTGCCCTTGAATCATTAAGATTACATCTTATTACATGAATATCCAATTATTTTAATAAAAGTTATAAGGTATGAAATTTTTATTTTATGCACTGTAATTTCTTTTTGAGTCAAATCTGCTAGAAATGTGATACAATGAGGAGTAATATTAATGAACTTTCATGTCTCTATTGTTTAACATAATTATCCAATTGAGAGCTTAAGCAATGTGTTTATTTTTTTAATTTCTGACTGTAATTTCTGACTTTAATTTCTGACATAATTTTAATTTTTACTGTAAATAAGTACTTGAAGTAATTAAGTAAGTAATTTTAAATACTTGAAATGTATTACCTTGGCCATAATGATGAATATAAAAATCGAGACTGTGTATTATTGATTTATTTATGTTCCTCCACATTGTGTTAACAAAAATGGCAAGTCATTAATGTAAAACACATCAAAGAATTTTTTTAGAAAATAAGTTGAAAGAGTAGAAAGTCTAAAAATATAAAAAAATACCTGGCTAACAAAAGCATGAATAAAATAAACAAAGCATATAACAAGATAAATTAAAATTAAAAGCAGGAGAAAGTTGTTGATTTTTGAAAAGACTAGGAGGCTTCGCCCCCTGCTTGCTATCGCTCGCCAACCCCCGGAACTGCTTTCGCATTTCATTTCGGATTGCTTCGCAATCTGATGCTCGCTTTGTTCGCTCATTGGATACGTTCTTAACGTCTAGCTTTTGTATACTTTTTTGAACACTGAAGTTCCGAAAACTTTTNTGGGGATCTTCTATTTTTTTTTGCAAGGTTATTACTAATTCCTTACGGGTACTTTAATTTTGTTAATTTATGTGTAATTGTTAAATAAATGTGTTTTTTTTTTATAAAAGCGGACTGTTTCTTAATATAGCTTGATTCGTCACAAAAGCATTCATATATTATCATGCAGTATATTTCTGCATATTATGTATGAGAAAATATGCTTTTGTAAAGCTACAATGAATAAGCATGATACTGTTAATTATATATAAGTTTCTTGCAAAATTTTCGTCACAAAAGCATTCATATATTATCATGCAGTATATTTCTGCATATTATGTATGAGAAAATATGCTTTTGTAAAGCTGCAATGAATAAGCATGATACTGTTAATTATATATAAGTTTCTTGCAAAATTTTTTTATGGAAAAATGACATTTTTTGTGTATAAAAAATATACCAAAAGAAAAAAAAAAGATACTAAAAATAAAAAACATATTTATTCTACAGAGAGATATTTAAATTTTATTTGAACCTGATTAGCATTGATTCTAGCAGTTTTGCACCACCTATACAACTTTGTGTGTTAAATAATACACCATGTTAATGTTGAACTGTGCTACAATGTAGTTATGTATGCTAAAAAGAACAGGTGAATAGAGATTTAAACTTAATTTGAGGCTGCTATTAAAATTGATTTCAACTTTTAGGTAGTTCTGTATGTTAAAATGTTTTTTTTTTTTTGTAGGAACATGCCAGATATAGAAAGCCTTATGCAGGAATGGCCTCCAGAATTTGAAGAAATTCTTAATCAAGTTAGTATTCAATTTTGTAAATTTTATTTTTATTTGATATTATATACTTTATATTTTGCTTTTCATTTCAGTATGAATATCTATCTACATCAAACCAACTCTCTGTATTGTTTACATTGAATAAATTTTTTATTTTAAAAATGTTTTTTTTTTTATGAACAATTTAGTTTTAAAACTAAAATATAATATCTTGTTTACTATGAAAATGCATACATCACTCTGTTAAAGAAATTTTAAAACATTTTAAATTTTTTAAATATTAGTTACTGAAAATTTCAATTTCAATTTCGATTATTATTCTTTTAATTAAACTGTTTTTATTTTCTGTTGCATGAGATTTTTTTAAAGCAGATCTTAGATATTTTTTCAACACTGATTTTAACTGTGCAATGGGTTTTTATCTCCCAGCTACAGCTTTTTTTTAGTCTATTAACTGTAATTTTTAGTCTATTTTTTGTCACAGTGTAGAAGTTTGAAAAAGTAATAGTTAGCAGGGGATGGCATAAATGTTGGGATGAACTTTTAGTGGAGCTGGGGTACATCATCAAGATTAAACTTGCATATAAACCCACACCCGAAAATATCGTCATATGCGGCTAGGGACACTCTCTGTTATGAATTGTTTCTTTGTGTGCTTCTGAACAGGTCTTAATAGGAAGTATCCCTTCTCCTGAATTAGGCAATATCAAGTATTTGTATAAATGCAATAAAAACTTAGTTTTCAATCGTATTGAAATTTTAAGATTTTGATGAAGGAAAATTTTAAAAAGTATATGTTGTCTTTAGGATTTTTATTAAAATTTATAATTTCACATAGTATCTGAGATGATTTATTATAGCATTTTAATTTCTAAATTTTATAAAGGTTGGAATTCCATCTGCAGATTTAGACTGTTCTTTAGAAGAGTATGTTGAATTGATTTGTGGTGAGATTTTAGCATTTTGTTATAATCATGCGGTCATAATGTTTTTCTTCTTCTTTTTTATGCAATCTATGTTTATAATTTTAGGCTTAATGGATATACCTGTGCATAGATCGAAAATTCAATCTCTACATGTCTTGTTTACTCTTTTCTTGGAATTCCGAAATTCACAGGTTTGTCTAAGTTACTCTCTTGGCTTTTTATATTTTAATACTCAGTATGTAAATTATAGTAGAAGTTTGTTGTTATTATGGGAATATAGGCAATGGTTTTTCTCTTATTAGTTAAGAATGCTATTATGTTGCAAGAAAAAAACTTGTTTTTTAATCAACTAACTACACTGATCAGGAAATTTTCTATTGATACCAGTTTTAACCACATGTGCTGATACAAAGATGCACTTTTCAAAGCAGTTAACTGAAACTTTATGGGAGTTGTTTATTGTTCAGTACTTAATAGGAAAGGGAACAGTCTTTTATATTTGTGTAAAACGATCCAAGAACCTCTCTTTTATTTCTGTGATAATTGCCTGCAGATGTGTATAGCACATCTTCAGCGATTTTTCTTCTTTCCAGCTTAAGTAGTTCACGAACTATGACTTAAACTTAATGGTTCTCCAGGATGACCTCAAATAGGCTAATTAATTTGCACTGATGATATTTTAAGTTACAAAATCAGACAACAAAACATACTTTTGTTCGATTTCATTTGCCATATAAAATTAAACATTCGTTTTGCCATATAAAATTAATGATGTAAAAATTGTATACTTTACACTAAAATTTGTTTCAACTATTGCTAAATAAAAAAATAACAAATAATTAAAAATAATATTTTTATAGAATTATCTTTTGATAAACGAATTCCATAATTGTATGCAAAAGTTTTCAATTTGTTTAAGGAGTTCTTGAGATACAGCGAAATACGCAAAAAGAGAAATTAACATTAAGTGGTCCAAATTTCGGACTATACTTCTGACCAAGCTGTTGTTACCATATTCTCAGATTGCATCAACCTTTTATATTTTAAGGGGTAAGGAATACAAATCTATAAAAAGAAGTACTTTTATTTCATGAATTAGTTAGAATATTTGAAGTCACCCCCTTGAACCATTAAGTTAGAGTCCTAGTACATGAAAATCTGATCCTGAAATTAAAGGTTATTCAGATTGCTTTGTACATAAGTTTGTAATTCTTAAACTTTGATACATTTTCTTAACACTTCTCAGTATTTTAATTCAAGTTTTTCCATTGAGACTCATGATGAATATTTTGAGGTAATAGTTAGTTATAATTTGTTCCCTATAATTCTATTGAAACCAAGTTCTTTGGTAATTTAGAGGATGCTATTTTATTCGCTAAATAACTTTTACTATAAAAATCTTCTTTTAGCCTGAGTTAGTGAGTTAATTGAGCTACTTTATCATCAAAAATTTAAAATGAATCAACATAATGTTATGTATGATTAGTTGTTTTTATATTGCTTAAAACTATTTATAATATTTCTCATTTAGCATTTCAGATCATTAGTTATGAATAATGATTTTGGAGAATCCATGAAAAATGAAAGTCGATCAGAAGATGAGGATCATTTCCAAAAGACATATATGAGAGAATAAACAAACTGTTGCAAGGAAAAATATCAACTGATGCTAATGAACTCATTGAAGGTTCCAGTTCAGTATGAATGATTAATCTTTAGTATGTATTTTTAATTCAGTTATCTGTAGGGATTCCTTTTATGGGGAATGTAATGATTGTTAGAGGTATTTAAATTTTCAGGAGTATATTTTAAATATTTTATTTTCAAACGTTGACATTTTTCAAGAAATGTATGATGCTAGTTATCTGTCCACTATGTTTCTTTTAAATAAACATACAATTAATTGTTTTCTTGATGGTACTATGATGCATTTTATCTTACTGAAAAATAACCTTATCAGTTCTTTACAATTACAATCTTAAATTTTATACTATAACAAACTGGTTTAGTGTTATATTGTTAATAATTTATTTATTGAATTATTATAAATTTTCAAAATTTGTAGCTTATTCCATGTTACTACACCATTGTTTTAGCAGTAAAAGTAAAAATTACCTAAACTTATTTCATCTTTGTAACTATAAATTACTTTCGTTACTTATTCTATTATTATAAATTACTTACTCTAGTAATTCAAAATTGTAAATTGGAAAAATATTTAATCTATTTGATACAGCGTTCCCCACGATAAACTTTTTCATATAAAATTAGTTATTTTTATACAGAAAAGTCTGAAACTTCATGGCAGTGTGAATTTTGATTAATCAAATCTTGTTTATTCATAACTAGACAGTAAGGGCAGATATAGAAGTATTAACAACTTTTAAAATATCCAAGAGATGTTAAAGTTATGAAATTATGATAGTGAATCATTTTCGTCTTTTTTTCCCTTCCAATTTTGGATTAAAACTTATTTTCTTATTCAAAGAAATATATAGCTTATAGATGTGTAAATTACTCCCTGATACCAATAAGGGTTGATTACTAGTATATTAAATTGTGCAATGCATATGAAAATTTTTAGGTGCATTAAACAAATTTCAAGTTGCCTGCTATGTTCATATTTTCACTTTCAAGTTTAAAAACATTATTTTTTTAATCAAGTAACATATTGATTTGGGTGAGACAAGGTATTTGTGAACTACTTTCATAGTCTCTGAAATAAACTGCTGTTTGTAGAAAATGCAACACCATGAAAGAATCATCAGAATCAAATGAAATTTAATGCAGAAACGACTTGTACTGATACAAATAAATGATGAAATTTTCAAAACAAAAGAAACAAATTAAGCGTCCGAAATCAGTATTTGGTGCAGCCACCACGCGCTGCAATAAGTGCTGCTATACGACGTGGCATGGAGTCAAACAGATGTTGAATATCTGCTTGAGGAAGAGAATTCCATATCGCTTGTATGCGCAACCAAAGTTCGTCTTTGGAAACTGCAGGACGCGGATCACGAGTGAGACGCCGACCAACCATATCCCACACNCGCGCGATGGCTCTGAAACTTTATTAATTTGCATAATATCCTATATCCATTATTAAAATAATATTTCATTTGATTCTGATGATTCCTTCATGGTGTTGCATTTTCTACAAACAGCAGTTTAAATAAGTATAATATGTTTACAGTTATATTCAAGTTCTTACTTCTTATTTTCGTGCTCTTATGTCTTATTAACACTCAGAGAGAAAATATTCTATCTTATAACATGGAATTATTAATTTAAAAATCTATCCTTAGTTATATTGCAATTAAAAGTTGAGAGTTGAAGTTTCTTTATAAAAATTGTATTCTACAAATATCAGAAATAAGCAACTGTATACATACAGTTTACAAAAAAAAAAAAAAAAAAAAAAATTGANAAAAAAAAAAAAAAAAAAAAAAAAAAAAAACCAGACTTATGATATTTGTTTCACTTTTTCTGAATTGAGCTGCAACTAAAGTAAATAATGATTTCAATTGCTCTTTTTTCACCACAGCTACCTTAAACTAAGTGAAACTTGCCATATGTAAATTATTCCTAGTTCTAGGACCAAATCTTCCTTGTATAAAATGTTAAGTATATATAAAAATATTAAACACCATTTATCAGAGGTGATTACATTTCACAATACCTTATCAGAAAGAGATTCTGTGCCACAATGTTTTGTCCACTTTAAATTCCATATAAGATTTTGTTCAAATTTCTTTTGATCCATTTTTTTTAAAAATTAAATTTTTTCTTGTTATTATTAAATATTATTATTAATATTATTATAATATTAATAATATTATAAATAATATTATTATTCTTGTTATTATTGTTAAAAATATTATTAAATACTTGTTGCAATTAATGCTTTACATGTAACAACAGCTGTTGTGACATCATCCAGTTTCATGGATAATCAGGAGTTTAGTTAGATAGACAACATTGACATTGAGAAAGATAGTTACTGTAGTCAATTGCCTTAGCTGAATCTTCTTAATTTTAATCAGAAGAAAGAATATCAAAACAGCTAATTGTTTTTGATCTTTTTATGAGCAGACTGTACAACAGAAGTGGAAAATACAATAAATTTATAACACTATATATTAATCTTTCATACAAATAGAAATTTCAGCTTTAGGAATACTTTTCTTCACTTTGTACATATATATTAGAAATCTATTTTTTTTTTCAAGATTTCTGAAAATACATTAAAATTGATCAAAGGGGATGGACATTTATTTTGATGTTGTTTAATGCTTCACTAAACAACATCAAAACTAGCCTTATAAAGGAGATCTATACAGATAAAGAGAAGTTAAAAGTGTTAAATGCATTTTCGGCTAGAGCCATGGAGCAAAAGTAAATACACTGTAATTTGAGTTAAAAAGAAGTTGCAAAGAGGAAACCACCACAAATACAAAATTGATGTGCATATTTACTAAATAATATATATATATATCTTAAAAATTTTCATTTTCTAATTTTAACCTAATAAAAGAATGGATTTTAAAAATTCAAATTTGATTATACAAGAATTTATCTTCAAATTGTAAAATTGTCATATGAGCTAAATAAAGAAAAGCTAAATTGTAAAATATATTTTTAAGCTCTGTTGAATAAATTCTTAACTATACAACCTCATATTTTTTTCCAGATTTAAATTTATATACATGCTTAAGTTATGAAACAGAAATATGGTTACTTTGTGCTAAAACACGAAAAATAGCTTTATTTTTGAAATGAAAAATAAATTTTTCTTTTTTAAGATAAAAGTAATAAGAATGTAAACTTCTTACTATATTTCAAATACTTCTCTCATTAGTAACTATTCACAAATTCGAATACTAATTTATGTTTTACCAATATACAAATATTTTCACAGCACATGTAAGCACAAGGAAAAGTAATGTAATTGCATTTGCAAATTATATTAAGCTCGCTGCAGTCTCAGCACAAAGAAAACTGCTTATATAAAGTATTAATTTGAAAACAAAACTACATACTTTATGAGAATCACAAATGCACATTTAAGTTTTAATTTGTAGATACATCTATTATACTTAAGATATACATTTTAAAACAAATAAAGTAAAATTTCCAAATAAGATTTGCATCAGAAAATTTTCAAGTCTAATGCAGAAAAATACAAACTCACTCATGGTGACTAATATAAACTATAAATCAATTTAAAAAGAAATTTTGAAATTTCATAATCAAATTACAATTCATGATAAATTTTGTTTTTTCGATTAATAAAGTAATTTTTATTTTAATTTTTTTTTTTATAAAAATGCAATTTTTTTGGAGATAATTATATTGTTTTTAAAAACTAATGCATGTTGATTAGCTGACTTTTTTCATGCAATATATATATATATATTAACTTTGTTCATAACTCTTCATTTTTTTGAAGAATAAAAAAAATTTCTAAAAAGAGATATTTAAATGTTTTTATTCTGACACTATTTCATTGCAGAATATAAATAGTATTAAAATGCTCTATGAAATACCTCCTAACACTAACCTAGAATATTTCTTGGCACTGTAAAATCACTCACCTATTACCTAATTTCAAAATGTTGCATGTTTTGTAAACAATAAAATATACAAAGGCTTGTGCTAGGTCACTTTTGGTTCAAAAAGATACTATAAAAATATCTATTACCTTTGGACCCTTCTAATTAGAGCTCGAATAAAAATTATACTAAGGAAATCTGGCACTAATTATGATAAAAATAATTCTGAATTTTAATTTTTAGAAAATTTATTAACTGCTTTAATATACTTTTGATTAAATACATATTTTTATAATTGATTTTTATTTTTTTATGGGTTTTCGTATTCACTATGGATTTATTAATAAAAAATAAATAAATTAAAACTTTAAATTACATTAATTCTTTGTAATTTGAGTCAAAGATTTAAAATTAACAAAAGTTTTTACTCTTTTAAAGAAAAGAAACAAAGCATGTTTGATTTTATTGGTTTATTTAATAATTTTTTTTATCTGTTTGTACACAACAGCATTTTATATTTTTAAATAAATTTTCTTTCACTGTCTGGTTTGCGAACTTTAACTCCCCCCTAACGTTATATTAATATGTTTTAGTCTGTTCTATATTTTGAAATTCCAAAAAATTTGTTGATGACAAAATGAATTTATTATTATTCATAGTTCAAGTATCAACTTATAAAAATGCTTTGGGGAAAACAAGTATTGCAGTTAACCATAAAATGACTCCATAGAAAAACCCTTTGCCACAAATTTTTTTTTGTTTTATTCCTATTCTCATAACTTGACTTCTTTATCACCTTACTTTTTCTTAAATCAAAACATTTGGAGAAATTTTATCTTTTTATCTAATACTAGATTTTAAATTCATAAAATAAAAAGTATTTGAATGAAAAGGAAATTTTAACATTGATGTTCAAAGGGCTTAATTATAGATTGAATTTACCAATATTGGAATTATATTCAAATTAAAAAGAGTCCACTGAGTCCAAGAATATACATAACTTGTAACCATGAAATTGTTTTCAATGTGGAGAATGATGAAAAGGGATGTAAAATAATACTCATTTTTATGTTTATTAACATAATTGTAAGTGCCAAGTGCAATGAACAATGTGAATGATACGTCACACGTTGACACTCGTGGCAGTATTATAAGCTAATTTTAAAAAAATGAAAGATTTGTTCTTTTAGAAACAATAAATTATTATGTATTTCTCTCTCTCTCTCTTTTTTTTTAAATGTTAAATTTTCACAAATTGCTGACTTTTTTTATGTTAATTCCTATTTCATTTTGAAATTATTAATTAGTAACTCATAAGAAAATTTCAGTAATTAGGCACTTTTGTGATATCAGGTAACATATATTTTTTAATAATAAAATAACGAAAAATTGGATTAAGAATTTTTAAAAACTACTTTAAAATTTATGAAACTGATATATTTGAAAATCATACTTTAAAGTATGAATTTCAATTTTTTTCAATTTTTATTTTGATAACATTTTTAAAGTTAATTTAAAACTTTTAATTATGAATTTTGCCTAAATGTTCTATGTAATCGACAAATTCATTTCGTTCTTGAATGAAACTCATCTCAACATTCCAAAGAAGATTATGAGAAATAAAATATCATTTCAATGAAAATAATACATTTCTTCATCAATTGTAATGTTGGACGCCCAGCATTAAAAGTGTAAGTTTTGGTTATATTTAAAACTACTATATTTTAATTTTACTTAAATGTCGAAATTAAAATTTAAAACTAGATTTAAAATCTAATATGTTTAATTTCCTGATTGAACAAAAATATAAATAAGTTTCAGCAAAAATTTTTTACAGTAGAAATCTGTATTAATATTTCTAAAATTTTATTGTTTTAATAATTTTTATTTTTGTTCTGCCCAGAATAAGGTAAAGTGTTTTAATTTTAATTTTAAAGATAATGTTATTTTTAACCATTTTTACTCATTTTATAAAATCTTATCAAGACCATATGTGCATGTCTTAAATATACTTTAAAAATTAGATTTTAATTTTTAATTTTTTTTATGCAAAAGTGAATATTATGTGAATGAATTAAATACTATATTGATAAATTATGTATATCTTACAAACCTATTAAACATTAGATTTTTTTTAAAATTTTAAAGATAATTTCTTGATACAAAACCAAATATTACGCAGAGGTATCTTATGATGAACAATTATTACCACAAAATGAAATTTATGATATTAATTATAATTTTGATTAATAATGAGTAAATGTGCTAACCTATTTCACACATTTAAGGCAAAGACAAAGTTTAAATGATTTAATGAGTTGCGTACGTTTCAGAAAAAGCACTATTTATAAGAAAAATAGACCTAACACCAAGATTACGTTTGAATAAAAAAAAAAAGTTTTTTTTTTGAGCAAAGACATTTAATTTACTCTTTAATATTAATTCATATGTCTTTTACGATACCATATCCTTGAAGTATCACAATTTGGCTGCAAATGATATGAAAACATGTACAAGAATTCACCAGTCTAACATTCAACATCTAATATCACAGTTAATACAGTAAATATATGAACTAGGCTACGGCTATCAAATGTCAAGATTCAAACATTTCACAAAACCCCTTATTATCTAGCCATAGAACGAAAGGTTTCCTCTTTGACTTCTGTATATATGCTAAGGGAACATTAAAGAGGGTACAATGATCTATCACAGCATAACCTGAAAGATTTAAGTTAGGAGATCAATTTGATGAGAAATCTCCCCCATATTCAGCGTCTTATAAAAAGTAAAACAATCAACAAAGTAAAAATATAAATAAAAAATATTCACCATCAACATTCTTCCTCATTAGTGCAGAGAATATAAAGAACACAAAATGAGTAGCCACAGCAACAATATGAACCGGTCTCCATAAATATATACTTGCACACATATGTGATATACATATATATGAATGTATGCATTTATCTTCGTCTTTGAAGGCTAGTGGTGTGAGCAGCAAAGGGAGGATTTTGATATATTCTCCCACTTTTAATGGCACTGCTTAAGAAAAGGCTCAGGAGAGCGACATGGGTTACTGCTAGCACCAGTCGTCTTCATCAAGATCATGTCGCCGTGGTCCTTTACTTTTTGTCCTTACAACCATTGTAACAGGCTCTCGTTCCCTTTGCAATCGCTCTCTTTGTCCAGGTTTATAGCCATTAGGCAGGGGTGAAGGCAAATGGCGAGAGCCCCTGCCTATTGCAGCAGCTGCCTCAAAACTAAGAGGCTCTATGCGCTGTCCAAGGGCAGTTGGCGCGAAGCTGCTATCTGTTTTAATGATAGCTGGCAACCCATGCACCGGTTCTTCTCTAATGTGCACATCTTTTACATCCACTGATAAAGAAGCTGATGCATGAGTTGGCCCTGCTGTCCTATCCCTCCATGGAGGGTGCTGCTGCTGGCTATTCATTAAGGAAGCATGGGTTGGAGAGGCACTAAGTTTTGGGAAGTTGATACTCCCTGGTGATCGATTTGGTTGAGGTACTGTAGGAGAATGGGAAACATCTGGGAAGTTAATTGGATCAGAAAGTATATCTAATTTCAGCGTAGAGGGTTTTGTTGGAGTAGGTGGCAGACGTCGACCACCACCTGGCCTTCGATGGACTACAGGTAGGCTATGCACAGAAGAAGGACTAGGACTACGAGATCTATAGTGGAGGTGTGATGTACCATAATATTCACTTTGAGTAGGGGTAGATGGACTGGGACTTGGAGTTCTAGAACGTCTATCGAGCCTAACGCTTGGATATACGGGGCTATGGCTCCTACTCCTAGAATGCATACTTGGTCCATGCCGCCACATTGGTTTAGGAACTGGAGATCGTGCTCTTGAAGGCGAATAATCACGTTTCTTGCCTGCAAAATTAAAAAGAATATTCTGATTTTCTTTTTTATCATTTTGATATTGAACCAACTGACATAATTACTATTTTTTTGCAGATTCAAAAATTTGAACGTTTATTTGCGAATTATGAACTGGGATTCGTGTTTGAAGGATATAAGAATCATGCATCGCATTCTAATTCGAGTTATTGATGACATTTTGCATTACAATTATTACCAAATTACGAATCGGTTTTTGCATGAAATTACTAGCGAATTAAGTTTTTGTGTTTTGCATTAAATCAAAGTGGTTTATGTATAACGCATCGCGATTTACGACTTATTACTTCGCGCATTTTTTAAACTGTATCATTTGCTATCATTGTCCTGATTTACAAAACATACGTTGCATTTCAATTTGGAAGTCATACATTATTATTTGTGATACGTAATTCAAGCGATCTTCGAGGCTTGCTTTACGTTTCATGTAATTTTGATTTATAACATATTGTGATTTGTATATACGCGATTTAAAAATTTACGCATAGTAAATCGTAATCACAAAATTTAAAAAATCACCCTTTGCGATTTATGATATAATTTAAAGAAAATAAAATTTGTTAAGTCTTAGTTTGTTATCTGTAAAATAATGTACTACAAAAGATTTCATTATGTTCAAGATACATTACAGATATTCTGAGGTAATAAAAAGACACCATGTTTTTTGAAAATTGAAATAGATATGCTAAATTATTATTTTTCAATTAATTCTAATATGCTTCATTAAATTGTTCATGAAAAGTTTTACTGAAGTGAAATAGAAATTGGCATGTGTACCTATGTAAATAGGAAATTTTTTGATAGTCTTCAAACTGATTAAAGCCACAATGTAACTATCAAACCATTTGCATTGGTCGCTGTGGACTACTCACATTAGAAAATGCTGCAACTATTAAAGTATGTGAAATTGATAAACTTAATATATGTTTCAATGTAATAAAATCTGGTTGAGATGTATTTTAACAGACTAAATATTAAAAGTTTTATTTTTGGTTGAAAATTGATATTAAAATTTGGTCCTTGAAAAATTTGATTTTAGATCCTTAAAAGTCAATGAAAAGTCGTTGAGTTTTTTTTTTTTGTTTAAAAATTGAGTGTGAACCCCGTCTAATTTATTTCACGTAGGTTTGTCCAGTATTATGCTAAAGTTAGTTTTTTCGACACGTTTTGAATTAAGCAGCTTTTAAAGCAAAATTGTTGTAGATCCCTTTTAAACTTAAGAAAATATAGCTTTAATATGTAATTCACCTCTACTATTGCAACTATGTTTGAACTTATTAGTAATATTTTGTGAAGTTTGTAACCATCTTCTTTTGAGGAACCCTTAATTAACGTCGGAATAATTTATGTAATGAAATAAAGATTATGCAATGCCTTTTGTCCGCAAGTTTTCTGTCGGCGAAATTTATAAATTCTTAACACTTGAACTATTCGCGTCATTCATGGGGTTTTAATTTGTTTTAAAATACAGGCGTTCTAATGTTATCTTTTGACTGCATATTGACAGATGCATCTACCAGTCCGAAAAAAATTTAAGGCATTTATCTCAGTTTCTTTACCAAGTGTGCTCTATGAAATTTAAATATTTGATAAAATGTATAATTAAATAAAAATAAGATATTGCTATGAGAAATCTCAAGTTTTCAAATATTTTATTTAAGGCTATTCTATTATTATGTATTCAATTATTATATCTGGAATTCAGAAATTAGCGATGATATTAAATACTGGTCATATTTTTGGGAATATGTTGTAGGACACATTTGTTTCAATACTATACTCACTCTAATCGTTTTTCAAATTGAACTCGCTTAATTTCTTTCAAGCCTAATGCTTATTTTTAGTTTTTTTGTAAGCAGTTCAAAGGGAAATTTTTTTAATGCTTTTATTCCTAATGTGTAATAGTAAAGTGTTTTAATCTTTTCTATAAAATGAACTGAGCTGGTTCTTGAAACTAAACTCGTCTTATGAATATTCATTACAAGTATTCATGCGAATTATTATGCATATAATTTAAAATGGCTGTAATGAGTACAATTGAAGAGATTTGTGGAAGGGCATTTTATATTTTGAACTCCGATTCATTTTATAGTGGGCAGCAATTATGTAACATTAATTTGTTCTGCCAAATCTTTTCTACCAGACTGTTTTGTAAACAGTTTGCTGACGTTCTCATACTGTCAGCTGGTTTTAACATTTTCATTTAAATGCCACTTTTTTTGTTATTCCACTCAGCTCTCCAATTTCTGAGTCAGTTGTTGTACCAAAATGCCATTTCAAAATATTTTTAGAGATACAAACCTCGCGATCTACCTCGTCTCTTATTTTCATGTTTTTCGTGAACAAATTCAGCCATTCCTGCAGCCGCTTCTGTAAAATTGATGTCGTGGTGGGGACGTCTAGGTGAAGGGGAGCGACGTATCAATGGGGGAGATCGACCATGAGGAGGGGATATCGATGATCTTCCAAATACAGGTGATGGTGATCTTGAACGAGGTGGTATGCCACCAGCAGGTTGAAGATGTCCATCTCTACCCTTAGATTAGAAATATATTTGATTATTTTTCTATTATATATTTATATAATATATTGCGTTCTAGGTGTAGTTCATGTGATTGTGTTATAAAACCAATATTTCTCCAATGAACCTAAGTACAAGTAGGATTCGCTATGATACTGTAATTACGTGATTGATTGATAAAATAAGTTTGGTACAAAATACAAGTATTATGTATTTTTCCAGATTATGTGATTTTTTAATAATAAAAAGTTGGGTAATAATGGTTTTTAGACTAACTTTAAGTCTAAGTAAGACAAACAGCTACTTTTACGATAACATAACATCGCAAATATCTATTAGGCTCGTTATTGGAGTTCATTGTCAGCAAGTCAAAGAAGAGAAATTGATATAAAGTAAATGTATTTCGTAAGTTTACTAGTTAGTTTTACCATTGCATGAAACTCCGAGGAAGGACAGAAGCGAATCATCCTTAACAGCGTCAATTTTTATTTGGAAACATTTATTACAATAATACAAAATATAAGATAACAAAATAAACAAGTTATTTATTAGATCACTATGTCCATATCAAGGACAATAATTGAGAAAAAAAACGAGCCATTAATATTGCATGGAAGTGCAATATTAATTGCTCGCAGAAACTTATTAGTTATTACTGGTGGCTAATNGAAGAAATAAATATTTTATGTTCGTTTAAAAAGATTAAGTTAGTGATTTATTTTAAATATAATTCTTCTATTAATAAAAATCAGCTTAAGTAATAAAAGATATTCTTAAAATATAGGAAATAAATATGTAATGCCAATTGTGGCATCACAAAGTATTATGTATTTCTCCAGGTTATGTGATTTTTTAATAATAAAAAGTTGGGTAATAATGGTTTTTAGACTAATTTTAAGTCTAAGTAAGACAAACAGCTACTTTTACGATAACACAACATCGCTAATATCTATTAGGCTCGTTATTGGAGTTCATTGTCAGCAAGTCAAAAAAGAGAAATTGATATAAAGTAAATGTATGTCGTAAGTTTACTAGTTATTTTTACCATTGCATTAAACTCCGAGGAAGGACAGAGGCGAATCATCCTTAACAGCGTCAATTTTTATTTGGAAACATTCATTACAATAATACAAAATATAAGATGATAAAATAAACAAGTTATTTATTAGATCACTATGTCCATATCAAGGACAATAATTGAGAAAAAAAAAAAAAACGAGCCGTTAATATTGCACGGAAGTGCAATATTAATTACTCGCAGAAACTTATTAATTATTACTGGTGGTTAATGATGAAGCTTCTGTTATCGCGATCGAATTCTCTGTCAGATAAATGTGGATGGAGGAGTAACATGTTTAATATGTCTTAAACATTTTTGTTAAATTTTCACAGGTCTAATGGTTAATATTTACTCTACTTGGCCGTATCTTTCGAAACATATAAAATTCAAAGCAGCCTAATCATAATGGAAGAGAGATACTGAGGTTATTGAAACATTTCATTTAATAGTTTTTTGACAAGTTATTGCTATACGATTCTGTCATCACCTATTTTAAAAAGACTATTTAGTATAATACGTTAGCTCGTTTTAAGACTTTTCAAAAATATCTTTGTTTTCGCGTTTATAATCGGAAATAGTCAAAGATATTTTTAGCTCTATCGAAATGAGTTCACATCAGCCTAAATACAAAAAGAAAATTTTAAAAAGTCAATCAGACGAATTTAAAGTATTATATTACAATTCAAAATGTGCTATTGAATGATACTTTTTCATTGTTTAATGATATTTTAGCATCAAAAGTTTCTTATGGACAAAAATCATTGAGGAAACACTATTAAAAATTTATCCTAAAATCCAAAATGACGAGACTGAGTAAACGCATTCTTTCCCATGGATTCAGTTTTTGATCCTAAAAATCTGGGCTATCTGGAAAATATGTTAGTAATAGAGTGGTTAAAAGTTGGGGTTCATTATATCTTTTGCTCTTTTCTTCGTAAATGCACAAACAAAAATTTGTTAGAATACATTTTATACAAAAATTAAAAGCAGAATGTCGGGTTTACTTGTATATACGTTGGAGTCATATCATTGTTTCCTCTTTTCTTTTTCCGACTGCTTCCTCGTCTTAGAAAACTGAAAGATCTATTCCATTTCTTATCTTCATTGTTATGATTCTTATCAATACTGAAAAATAAATAAAAATGAAAAATTTTGAATTACTTAAGTTTCTACCTATATTTTAAATCTAAAATCGTGCTATATATATTTATAAAAGTCACAAGCGAAGAAAGCGTTTTCACTAATAAGTTAGTAACTCGTTACTAGCAACTTGTTATAAATAGTTCAGTAACTCATAACACATTTCAATTTCGTCAAAAAGCTATATTTAAAAATAAAAAATTCTTTAAACATGTTTCTCCAAAAAATATTTTCGTAAAGTGCAAGTTAAATTTTTTTGCTAAATTAATATTAAATACTAAATTAATATTTTCATTGTGCAGTTTATATATTTAAAGATATTATTATTATTATTATATATAATTTTTCTGTTTTGACCAGATAAAAAATGCATTCTATTAATTAAATAAAATTAGACATATTTTCTGAGTGCGAATAGTCTCCCTCCCGTTTTAAGACAGAAATTTTGCACATTAAAGTCATTTTCATGTTTTGTTAAAACTCGTTTAGATTATTTTACTAAGGAATTTGTTTTTTTTTTGGTCACCAACTTTTTATTGCCATTTCATAATTTCTTTTTTGAATTTTTCAACGAATGATTATGTTTGAAAATATTAAACCATTTTACATGAAAAAATATTTGCTTAGAGCGATTATTTTCAAAATTCGTAGAATTGGATTGAATATTAACTAAATAGGCATCTGCTATGTGTACTATACGTAAACGATATTATGTACTTTAAATATGCTTTACAAACGGTGTTATCTAAATCTGTTGAAGTAAGAAAAAACGGATAAAAGATTTGTGTTAGTGTAGATAAGATAACATTTTTAACTATTTTCAAAATTGGAAGGTAATGCGTATAAATTGTTAAAATTGCCCCAAAAGATAAGATATTTGTGTGATTAAAGATGGGTAAAATTAAAAAGGGACTAGAATCTAATGAATTAACGATTTATGTGATTTGAATCATGAATGAAATCACTGATTAGAATAAACAATGTGAATCGGATATTTTAATAAACTTGATCAGAGCATAAATAAATCATCACATGATTTTTTTCGAATTTATGAATTAAAAACTGATGAATCAATTTATTTAGATCTACAGATGTGTGTCAAAGGATTCGAATAAATGAATATAATTCTGTAGATTAGAATCTTTGATTCAAATCAGTACCAAGAGGATGGTACGATTTATTACTTAAATCTAGTTGAGATTTGCAATTTTTAGTAAATAAATAACAACTTTTACCTTAAATTTGAACGATGTATGGACCCTTGCCTAGAGAGTGGTAAATGAGAATCGGCATCTTCAAATTGATCTTCATCCAAATTTAAACTCCCTTGCCTCGAGGGTAAGACTGCACCCATCAATCTTTGTAATAAGGACGGTCGCTGAAAAGTATTTGTTTCACACAATATTAGAAAGAGCATTATAGAGCAGTAAAATATTTTATGTGCAAATGAAAACGTATTAGGAAATTTAATATTTAACATTAATATCATTCTAACGTTAAACTATGGTATAAAAGTTTTTGGTGAACAGTTCAATATTTAATTTAAAATGAAATAATTTTATTAAAAAATGCTATGAAATATTTTCTAAAAATTAACTTTAAATGCAATAAACTAATTTAATAACACTAAAAATATAATTTAAATAAATTACATGCCACAGCTACCATTTAATATACTTCACAAAATGATGGCAGCAGCAGTATGCTTTCCATGCTTTCTGACCAGTTAAGGAATGTAATTTTATTACAAAAAGAACTTAGAAAGATAACTTCTTATACAGTATTAAAATATTATCCTTTAAATTTATTTCACACAAAATATTTTTATTTAAAATACATCACTGTTTTACAATAATAATAGAATATTAGAAATAGAAATTAAACAGATACCATACACATTTCTTGGAACATTTTTAAAATTACTTATGGAAATCTTTTCTACCACAATGTGTACTCTACGTTAAGAAACACTTGTATTTTTTTCACTCGTATCCAGATAATTTGTAAATTTCAAGCATAAATATGATTAAAAAAATGGAAATGTTTTTCTTTATGTTTTCCTACATTTATATTTTTTCACATGAATAAATTTAGAACAATCAAAAATACTCCATAAAATGAAAGAATTTTAAATATTTGTTCTAAAATCTTAAGTTTACATGGAAATTCTTGAGGATATAAATATATATTTCCAAATCATTTTTCATATTATAAAATATCAATTTATTTAGTATACTATCAAATCAGAATTGTAAGTTTTCGTTAAACGCGTTGCAAATTAAAATTTATTACTTATACCTCTTGAAATATAATTGAGTATGACTAGTTTTTCTAATATAATTGTAACTTTTACTGTAGTTTAATATACTTACCTTCTTCCCCAGAAGAGCCAAAATTCTAGTAATCACACAATTAAATATTTTGGTAAAGAATTATTTCTTATTTCATAATTTAAAGTTTCACAAGAAGACCATGCAATTACTTTGATGTCACATTACAGAAAGATGTCCTGAGAATGAATCTAATTTTTTAATTAGATTAGCCTAGCTTTCTTTCTTTAAAAAATAAGTTCCTCTGTAGTCTTTCACAAGCGTCATCATATAATGTCCTTCGTAGGAAAGTGTCACATATTAAGGAATGACATGACATGTCATGTCAGTTTTAACAACAGGGACATCTTGTATAACAGCTGTATGATAAAAATTGTAGCAGTTGTTGCTCAATTTTAGTATTAATAGTCATTCAGAAAATACAATTGACAGCTTGGAAAAATGACCTTTGTTTGGAAATGTTGATTTTCATGAAAATTATTTGTTCAATATTTAATTATGATAATTCGATTACTTATCTTCGTTGATGTTGCCAAAATGTCAATGAATGTTTTGGAGCAGAATCTTGATACTTAGAAAACCGTGTCTTAGAATTTACCTTATTAATATAATTTGTATAAAATAAGACAGTTTTATTGTTTTTTTTTTCAACATTCGAGGTCAATTTATCGTTTTATATTTCAAATTACTTTAGTTTCTTCTCATTCCGTTTTGGCAAAACTTTAAAATGGGTGCTTTTTTTTGAGCGATTGAAACGTGTCTACCGCTATTTCCATATATTCCTGAGGTGAATGAAGTTTTTTTCCCTTTTAATCATGTAACATTAGGGGTCCTTTTCAGATAGAAAAAGAGAATCTACTTTTTTCATTTTTCATAATGAACTATATAAACGCAATATTTTTTTTTATTAGTCAAGAAATTAGTATTTTTCGATAATTTTTTCGTTTTATTTTATACATTGAAATGTTCTGTATTAAATTTAGCTATCAAATCAGCATTAGTAAAGTTGTTAGTATTTTTAAAAAATAAGGAAATTATGCTCATATAACTCGTTTTAAGTAAAATTGAAGGAAAGTAATCCTTTTTCTGTTTGATTAACCCATTTTATTTATATAGGTATTCTAACAGTGTGTATCAGGAAATAAATAAAAGAACATTTGACCATTAAATCTGTTGCTTTTTCAAAACATAAAATACAAATTAACAATAATTGTAATAAATACAACAAAATAAGGAACATTCAGGTAAAAGTAAACTCTTCTGAAATAAAGCATTGGATTAACATATATCTTTAAGGGAAAAATACCACTTTATAACTTATAATTGCTTAGAACGGAATAATACATTTTTCTTAACTGATCAGGTAACTTATTAAAATGCAAATACTGTATCTCAGCTGATTTATCGTACAGTGCACACACAAAAAAAGGACCATCCTGAATACCTTTTGATCTAATGATCGGATTTTCACGTTCTAGGTCTTCAATATTAATGGTTTAAGGCGGTGATCTCAAATATGATAATTAATTAATGCTGCAGGCGATATTTTAGGTTATGAAATCAAACACAAAAACCTACTTTCTCTGAATAAACATACCTTTTTCCCACCGGATAGGGGTAGCCGCAGTATGGGAAACATGATCCCCATAGTTTGGTCAGTAGAGCGATCCAAAGTTCTGACCCCTTAATGCTAATAATTTTACGTTTTACATATTCCGCCATATCTCTGGAACTTTTTAAGTGAATTGAAATATTTTTGCACACAAATATGAAATTCTATTTTCTAAAGATAATTTCATGCAAAAAATTTAGTATTTATTTATTACTTTTTATTATTTTATTTAATAATTAGTCGAAACAATTTTGAATTGTTAGAAACACAATTTTTTTTACATCAATTAAAGGTATGTAATTTTAGATGGAAAAATACAAAATTTGAGCGGAATCCATCAAATAAGTTCCTGAGAAATCGAATTTCAAAAGAGCCGTGTATTTAAAATTCGATTTCACAGGAACTACTCAACCGATTTTACTCAACTTAGAATTTTGCTATAAAAAATTTACATACTTTAAAATGATGTAAAAAATTGTATACATTACAATAAATTTTTTTTCGACTATTATTAGTTAAACACTAAATAGTTAGTAAAAAATTTTTTTTTTGCATGAATTTATCTTAGGGCAAGCGAATTTTATAATTATAAGCAAAAATATTTCCCTTCGCTTTAAAAATTCTTAAGCTATAGTGATACGTAAAAAGTAAAATTAACATTAAGGGATCCGAACTTTGGATCGCTCCCTTGATCAAACTATGGGGACCATATTTTCCAGACTGCAGCTACCCCCTATATATTAGGGGTCAGAAATCCAAATCCGTCGAAAAAAGGTATGTTTATTCATAGAAAGTAGAGTTTTGTATCTGATTTCGTAACTTAATCTAGCATCTGCACTAATTAATTAGCATATTTGAAGTCACCTCTTTGAACCATTAAGATTGAGACCGAGACATTGAAGATTCGATCATTAGATCAAAAGTTATTCAGGGTGATCCGTTTTTTTTGGTGCACTGTTCACCATATACTTAATGGTTTTTGTTTTGTATTTCTCTATTTATTTGATCAAATTTACTAATTTCGCACTAAAAACCATACTATGCATGCCAACATCAAGTGAAGTAACTAATCTAGCGATAGAATTAAGGTTCTATAGAAATTAGAAAGGAAGGAAATGTGTGTCTATACTACCGGTGAATCTGAAGGATCAGGAGATTGGGAAGGATTCTCCTGCAATCAAAGATAACATTACACCTCAATTAATACACTAAAATAGATAACTACTGCGGAACTTTTCATACAAATGCCGCCAAACTTTCTTTTGAATTTAAGGCTGTTCCTCGAAAGATTTGTCGTCTAATTAATTAATGCTTTTCCACTAACAATATACTATTTTATTACTGTTGTGATAGTTTATTATGGCTATTATTTCATGCATCTTTAGTAAGCGCCCTCTGTGCTAATTATGACAATGGCATAAAATGTCATTACCAAGAAAAGCTACAGTTTCTAGGTTTTGTAGTGATTTAGAACAAAAATCAGAATTTTTTTTTGCATGACTTGGTTTGTAGTCAGGACATTTTAAATTCATACATACTAGACTATTTTTAAGAAGAGAAAACGAACAGCTTGAAAAAAAAAATACCGTAATCCACAGATATGAAAATGTAATTTTATGCTGCATAATTTTTTGAAATTTTTTTTAAAAAAAGACAGCTAAGTCTTAAAACGACTAAGATGTATAGTGTATCAATACTAATACTATAAAAAAATTCGTAAATGACTGAATTTAATAACTACTATCACTAATCACTAAAAGGAGTCACTATGACCTGAAAATAGAGTGCAATACGTCGTTACTTCATATTTTTTAATAAGGAAAATCATAGATATCAGAACAGTTATGAACTTTGAAGTTTTGAACGAATGAAAAATGTAAGTGATCTAATTTTTTATTATTGCACTGCATTGTTTGGAATTATAACAACAAATTTGTCCATTTTAAAGTCGAGACTTCGTAACAGGATAGAATTCAAAATTTTGTATCGACTCTCAAATTGTGTGTTTTTTAAAACTTTTATTGGCGAAAGAACTTCGAAGAACACCCTTAAACGCTTATTAGAAATTAAAACTTTTGGCGATAAAACATTTAAGAGTGTATGAGAAGCACCGTATGACTAATAAAATTATTTACAAATGTCTACAAAAATCATTTAAAAATGTCTACAAGGAAGTTACACACTGGAATATATATACACCAGAAAGGTAGGGATCTATAAGCATGAATAACCTAATACTCACACAATTAACGTGAACTACAAACAGACATAAAAAACAAAGCTTCTGCCCGACAACCATATCACAAAAGCTACAAAATACAGTATATTGATAAACAATTTATTTAAATAGCATGCACCGAAAATGATCTAAAATTTTAAATTCCTTTTTTTTGGTCCAAAACCTCAGAAGATATCCGTTTCTTTTAAGATTACACAGCTAAACATGTTGAAATATTTAAATAATCTCGAATAAAAAATTAATAATTCAGTGAAAACTAATTTTTTACTAAACGAAGCCTCAGTATACTTTACTCGTTGCTTTATTTTAAAAGTATTTAAATTTTTTTTGAAGTTGAGTTATTTCCAAAAACTTAGAAATGAATAGTTAAAAAAATAATTTTATAAAAAATTAAGATTTTTCTTTAAATTTAGAGTTGGTTTTTTAAATTAAGGACAATTAAACACTAAAAAAATTTATTAGCTTTTACGAAATATCACTTTAAAAAGAATCATAAAATTTCTTTCAGATTGAACCACTTTAATTTATTTAATTAACATAAATTATTGAAAGACTGAGAATATTACTATAAAAATGTAATATAAACCGATACTCATTGAAAGTTCTCTGCTTTAAAAAACGCCTAATATTTTACGAAAAATTATGTTATTGAGATTTTGAAATTAAAATTGATGAATTGTGAGTTATTGTTTACTATTACTATTGTGTTTTGCAAATAAATACTCATCCAAAGGGCATACACTTGAAAAACACTTAATATTTTGCAGTAACCAGAAGTAATGATAATGAGTCTGGAAAAAAGAATTGCTATTTATTTTGTTATTTATCACTATTACTATTGCGTTATACAAATAAATACTCATTCAAATTCCATGTACATAAGAAACATTTTATATTTTGTAGTAACTAGCAATAATGAAATACGACTGGAAAATCGAATTACAATGAGTTACTGTTTTATATAAATCAATACTCATTTAATTTTTTTTTAATGTAAAAAGTAAGTTTTTACTGTAACCAAAAATTATGATATATAAGTGACAACTTGAAAAACAAAATTACAGCTAGTTTAAATTATTTACGAGTATCAAGTTTACAATAAATCAATACTCTTCCTAACCCTGCATTTAAAAATCATTGAAGGGTTTACAGTAATCCGAAATCGTGATATTACGCCTAGAAAAATAATTAGTTTTCAGTTGGGTTTATAATTATGATTAATTTTAAGTTGGTACAAATTACATTCATTAATTTGTTTTAAGAAAGTATATTTTTATTAGTATTTGCAATCCCAAAAATACTATCAGCTTCAGTAGTGTCGATTTTCTAAACGTAATGAATATGTTTTTACTTTGAAATAATTTTATTTAATAGGTTTTTACCGACTTATTTTCAAATTTAAAAATCTTCAGCTTTTCTTTGTTCACACAATTTTCGAAAAATTTTAAGTTTATTACCTTTTTTCATAATATCTATTCACAAATTACATAAGATGTTTTTTTTTAATATTGAAAATAAAGAGTACTAAAAATAATAAAAAAAAATTTTAAATTGAAAAAAATATTTGAATATTAGTTATTCATACTACCCTTTGAGGATAAAGAATATGATTTGCAATAATTAACAATTTTATTGTATAGTTATTTCCGGAATAAATTTTATTATTATTCAGAAAGGAAGTGTTACAAGAGATATGATGATTCAAGTGAAGTAATTGCAATTAAAAATACTTAAAGCATTTAAATCAGAAACAGTTTTAATTTTATATACTTAATTGTCTCATATGAACCGTCCATCAATTAAGGTTAAAGGATAAATTATCTAATTAAATTAATCTCAATGAACAACAACAACAAAAAATTCTAAAATATTCCTTACACTTAAAATTTTGCATGCATTATATTAGACATGTAATTATATTGTGAGAATTTATTTCACTGTTGTAGATACATTAACACGTGCCATTCGAAACTTCATTTAATGTATAAAAATGCAGGTAGAACTATCCCTGTAGCATCTTTGATTGATTGTATAAGTACTTACAGAGAGAGCGTTTCCTGGATTTTTACCAAATCTAGTTTGTTTCCAATTTTCTAAAAGGAGTAATCCCGCATAGATTTTGCCAACAGTTAATTGTTTAGTACCTACAGCTGAAATTAACATACACATCAATTAGTACCGAAAACATAAATATCGTAAGAGAAGTAAAGAAAAATAGGATTTAAGGGTTCATTTCAGTTAGTAGGTCTAAAAAAATTCATTTTTTTGAGAGTTATCTGTAAAATAGCCAAGCAATTTTAATATTTTGTACTTTAATTTTCACAATTTTAAGTGTCTTTTAAAGTTTTATTTAGTGTAATCTCACGCATTTTTTATTCATTTATTTTCTGACTCATATTATAATGTTAGAAGTAGCTAAGTCTTCTGCTTAAAAACTTATCCCAACAATCAATCCGCCTCCAGTTTTTAAGGGTTTAAAATGTTAGTAATAATGTTTTTTTGAACTTACTTTCTCTGCTTTAACTGCTCGTAAAATATCTATATCAACTATGTATCAAGCATATTTTATGTTGTTATAAACGATTGGTTTTGGATACTTATAAAGTGTCCGGTATTTAAAAACAGATGTTCTGGAAACTTATCATTTGGAGCATTTAGTAGTATGGTAACTATAAAAAGAAAGTAAGGAAGTCTGCAATTTTTTAAGCAGCCCATCTGGAAACTAGATTAACATAAGGTTTGTAAAGCTTAGAGCAATATACAAGGTGTACTTTTTCTAAGTTGATTATTTTGTCATTAAGTTGCTCTTTAGTTTAGTTTCAAGATGGATTCATAAGTCTAGATAGGTCATCTACTAGATAGCACAATATCTTATTGCCCATTTCGAAATCATGTTTTTTTTTATGTTAACGATTTGATAATCTAGTTGATAATTATTTAGCTAAAAGCCTTTTATACTTAATGTTTAAAAATGGTTTGAAAGAAATTTTAGTTAAGCAAGTAAAATTTGTTTTTATTGTTGAATGTTTGGTGTGGAATCTTCAGGAAGATTTTTCAGTGTGTTCGAAAGTGTGGAATCTTCAGTGTGTTCAGTGTTCAGTCTCCACAACACTTATTACAAATTAGCTACCCAGGACTATGAAGCAACTGTTCAGCGTCTTCGAAATTGCTCTGAGCTTCAAAATAAAAAGAATTTATTCTGTTGACTCAACTAACTAGAATGTTTCCTTAAAATAAATAATTAAAAAAAAAAACAGCAAATAATTATAATAATAAATTCATTTGAAGCATTACATAAATAGAAAAAGATTCAAAAAAGTTTTGGAATCACCTTCAGGCGGAGGTACCAAACGATTTATTTGTTTCTTAGCTTGAAGAGGCCATAACTTTTTGATGGTTTCCCTTAGTTCTCCGTCGGCTTGATCCATTTCTTCAGCTTTAATAAAAATAGGTTTTAGGCTTTGGTTGTTAGAAGTAAATTAATTCAATACATATTCAATTACCCAAAAATGAATAACGTATTGAAAAATAAAGTAAAATGGAAGGAGGTAAAAATATAGTTTTAATTTACAATACTTACCAGCTCTCATTTTGATACTTAAATTTTCTCTTATCAGAGCAAATAAGGTGGTACTAAAATTTACTTTCATATCTTCCGTTAATGGCATATTCATTCGTATCAATTTCTAAGAAGGAAAAAAAAACATTGCTTGAAATAAACTTTTTGTTGCTATTAGTAACGTGACGTATTCAATTTTTAAAAAAATAGTGTTTTATAAATAAGTTATTATATTAATAAATATTTTATAAGAATACTCGCAATACTAATTGTAGATGATACCTTACCTTATAAGCAAGTCTGTAGGGACACTTGTTGCCAAATCCTAAAGGTGGATCCATGTTCCTCAACATATCGTACATTTCAGAATAGGGAATGAAACCACTATTAGAACATCAAATACATTATTAGTATTATTAATAGTTTGATATGAAGTAAAATAAATGAAAACTACTATCGTTACTACACCAATTATAAATAAAATGTTAGGTACATAAATAATATGTTATTTATGTATTAATATTAACTTTATTTGTAAGTAACAATAACAAGTTTTGTTACAGCATTTTGGTTTCAAATTTTTATATTATTTTCCACTTGCATCTCTTAATAATTATATAGCTTCCAAGTTTGGAAGAAAAAGCTTTCTTCTTTAATATCATGTATATATATATATATATATATATAAGTTAAAAATATGGAGAAAACATGGAAAATAACAAAACAATGAAAAGATATAATCTCTTCATCAGTTCACACGATTATATCCGTAAAAAGAAGTGCTTTCTAATATTGATTTCATTATTTTGCTTTCCGGCTTTTTAATATATTTTTTTAGCAATATTTTATTTTTATTTTTTAAAGATATTTTATTTTTATAGCTATATTTAACAGGAAATGAATAATTAATTATGTGAGTATGCGAAAGATTTTTCGTAAGAATAATGAATTATGTGATTTCAGACAGAGAATCAATGTAAAATCTCGTTAGTGGCTTTTTATTATATTATATATTTCTTTTAGAAATTGTAGCGATGCATGTTTGCACCATCAGGTATTATCTTTTTTGTTCCTTTTATATATTTTTTAAAAAAAAATTATAATTTATAAAACAGTTTAAAAAATTTTTGGAATTTATAAATGAATCATTAATTTTATAATAAGAAAATCTTTAATACTTTTTTGGTGTTAAAGATTTATAATTCTGATGTTAAGAATATGTATTCAAATGTTTGCTAAATTTAGATCAAATGAGCAATGCTATATAAAGTTTTTTTTTACGAAGTTAAGAATATATTAGTATTCTTAATATATTCTTAACTTCTTACTTTCAACGCGATATATTAGAGAAATTACATTAAAAACGAGATTGATGTAAAAAGTACTCTACTCACGTGGCGTTAGGATCATATTCAGCCCAAACACGTATAAATTCATCCAAGTGATGAGCACCCAGTATAGAAGGATCTCGAGTGAGGTAATCAAAATTATCCATAATGACAGCAACGAATAAATTAAGCATCTGAAATAAATTTTAAAGTAATGAGTATATTTTGACAAAACAATACCATTTTCTTTGTTCATAAATAAACAGTTTTATTTAGAAAGAAACAATTTCTCATCTGCAAATATCGATTGAAATATTTAACATCGAAGATTTTACTTTAGCAAGAATCTTACATTATTGCTACGAAATAGCTTACTTCTGTGAAATGGTAAGCATTAAATGTTGTGGTAATGGTAAAATTACACTGAGTGACATTTTTTGTATTATTTAAGTTATTGTGGTTGGTATATGTAATAATTTGAACTACGAGGAAGTTAAATTTAGTTTATTACAACTCGCATAAGCCCGAACTTAAGCATTTAATAGGAAGAATTTATATAATCACTGCATATGCCCCAGCAACTCATGAAATACAAAATAAAAATAGCTAATTTATTGTAGCGACAATATTTAATTGATTTCTAAACGTTATTTTAAGTTACAAAAGATTCATTACATTAAAGTATACTTCTGACAAAAATACGGTAACAATAAGTACGGTAAAATAGCTTAATAAGATACGAAACAAACGCTCTAACAATGCAAGTTGTTTGATGGGTGTTAAATTATGTTTATGTAGCTTCAATTCTCATTTAATTCATACGACACGAACTCTCAAAATCGAATTGTACCACAATTAGGTGCAGCTAATTTTACCAGTTAGTGTGACTTATTAAAGTATGAAAAGATTAATTAAAAAAGTATTTGTTTTTTAAATTACAATTAAAACTCGTTTCAAACATATGAATCTTGAATTATCTAAAATATGGGATGCAAGGCAAAAAACGTCCATTCGTACAAAGTAAGTTGTTCGGTAGGTGTTAAACAATAAAGTATGAATTCTCACAATAGAATAATTTGATACTGCTAATTTTGCAAGTTTGTGTGACTAATTAACGCAAAAAAGTTTCATTTGAAACATATTTGTTTAAATCTCGTATCTAACATAAGAGTTTGAAAATATTTAAAACGTGGGATGCGGGTATAAAACGCCCATTTAGCACATACTGTCGAAACTTTTTTTTCCAGACTTTTCTCTGAATTTTAGAACTTTTAGATATTAACAGTTCCACATATTCAGCATTAATAAAGAAATTACGTTATTTTTAATATTCATTCCATTTATGTATCAGTGAAACGAAATATCTCAAAATCTTGATAGAATGTTAGATCTGTTTTTAAAACTAAGTAAATTAAGTTCATGTATTAAAAGTATTACAAAGTTAACTCGAATAAAATGTTTCTCTTACCAAAAATGAACAAAAGAAGATGAAACTGACAAAATATGTATAAGCTAAATTGCTTCCACATTCACCCTCTGGCTTGTTGGATCTTTCATCACAAGCTCTGCCCTTCACACAATCCAACATAATTGCTTGCCATGCTTCACCTGTCGCACACCTTTAAGAAATAATGTAGAAAAAAAAACTCTACAAATAATTTAAATGTTGGTATGAAAAGGGTTTGCATCCAAATTCTTAGTTTTGCAACACATTGAGCACTTGAAAATAATGATAAAACTCATGCAAGCAGATATAAACACACATGCTGATAAAAACAAGGTGAGGTCCAGGAAAAGGACACTGACCCTGAAACGTAAAGCACAGCCACCACTGGTTTTACAAAAGCTTTTGAAGATTAAAAAATGAGGCCCTGAAATGAAAAGCCCTGCTATCATTGTTTTAGAAAAGTTTTTAAAAAGTAAAAAAATGAGGCCTGAAACGTATTGCACAGCCACCATTGTTTTACTAAAGTTTTTAAAGATTAAAAAAAGGAGGATTTTGCTTCGTGAATATAATTTAACACTCTTTAAAATATGCAAATTGGATCGTTTATTCACATCAACAAAGTCTTTATAGTATCCTAAAAAAATAATGAAAATTTTTATGCATAAGTCTTTCTACTCTTTTAAAAATGTCTATAAATATTATTTGGCTTACTATTTACTAAAAATATAAGAATCTATTTAAGGACCTAATCATATTGTAAAATCTAACATTTAAGCACAACACACATATTCACTCGATTTAGGTAACACATTTTAGTGGTAATTAAGATAAAAAAAATAACTATAATTAAAATATATAAGTTTCAGCAAGTCATAAAATAAGAAATGCAATTAATTTCCAAACATTTAATTGGGTAAATATTTTGTCATCAAACTTAAAACGCATATAATACGGTGTAAAATTTATAATATACTAATAACGGTTTGACACAATCACATTAAAAATGAGAAATTCATAATTTATCCACTAGTTTATTTTATTTGACTCCATTCAATTTTCAATTCTATTGATTTAATTGAAAAGCTTAGTGGAAAAATTCTATGCAAGAGTTTTTTGAAACAATTGAGATTTCTCAAAGAAGATTTTATTTTAATTTTATTTAATTGTACAATATTAATTTATTATTTACTTTGACAAATTTTTAAATTTTGAAAATTTTAGAAATGAAGGTACTGACAATTTTTGAGTGTTTTCGGAGAAGAAAGTTCCAAGTGCATTTGTCAACTAACAGACGACGAGTTCAAAAAACCCTATCTTTTGGCATCGTTTTAAGACTCCAAGTTTAAATGAGTGTTAGGATTAAAATGGTTTAATCTAATTGGAAGCTTTAGAACAAGACAATGAAGAAAGACCTAATCCTCACTTCCTATTGTCAATGTATGAACTTTAAAATGTGCCTTAGGACCTACATGCACTCAGCTTTTCAATTAAAGACGATTTAACGTTTAAAATGTTATTAAAAACATCAATTAATTGGAATAAACATTTGACATTAAACTATATTGAAAGAATTTTGTATTATTCAAAATAATATTCTTAAAACAAAAAGTAGAAGATAGAAGCAAAAATGCTCACAAATACGTATTAAGCTTTATTTAACACAAGCATGCACCACACATACACACATTACAAAAGATGTTGAGTCGACAGATTGCACATATTTTCCACTTCTTCACATCAATGGGATTTCGATAGACAAGAAGCACATTACAGCTTTGATGAAACTTATGCCACCAAGTAAAATTTTCGATTGTGAATTGCATTTTTGAGACATTTAAATATGCATGCAAGAGCAATTACGTGGCATAGTTAAAATATTATAAATTAAGCATAAGGAGAGCATGCTATTTACATTTATGTAAGATAAATTGAGGTGTTTGGTCTCAAAACCAACTTAGTTCATTTTTAGAAATTGTACAGGACATTTAAAATGAGACATAGGACATTCAAATGTCATAATTTGACAATCGTGACTTTTAAATTTTGATAAATGTACAATAATTGAGATATTATTTCAAAAGATTTTCGACGCCAATGTAGTTTTAATATAATTTTAAAAAGTACTTTAAACCGAGCTGGTTTTTTTAAACATGAGAGTTTTTATTACAAAAAACAGAAATACTATTTCTTTAGGAAAATAAAATCAAATCGTAAAAGCCAGAATCAAAAATTAACAACATAAGAGCCAGAATCAAGAATCAGTCAATAGTTAAAGAACATTACCTATTCTAGGTAAGATAATTGAACAGTGTCGTACACAATAAAAAAAAATTTAGAGCTAGAATTAGACGCTATGTAATCAAGGTAAGCTGATTAAACGATGTTAGTTCAGTGAATGACACCGTAGAATACAAATTAACTACCGCAAAAGCCAGAATTTGTTTATTACTTAAGCTAATTCTGGATTACGTACTTCAGATAAGGTGATTAAAATTTACCATAAGCAGTGTAACGTAAAGAAATTAACTAGTATAGAGCCGAACATTTATAGCGTAAGCATTTATAATATTATATTTTCTGCATTTATAGCGTAATCGAGCGTATCATTTATAGCGTAAACACTATAGGTAAGCTGATTTTCATGTCGTAAACTATGTCCAAATTGCAGAAAAATGGAATATTTAGGTGTTCTAAAAACCTTGCTTAGTTAAAGCAAATAAAACTCCCGAGGAGAAACTTTAAATAGTGTAATGAATCATGTTTTTTAATAACCTTCAAAAATTTAATTTTATTGAAAAAACTCTTAGGAAAAAAAAAAGATTTTTTGTATTCTTTTGGAACAATAAAAAGATTTTTTTTTGAAATCAAACGCCTCATTTATCGTTAATACTATCAATGTTTAGCAGGATAATTTTTTAACTTTTTAAATATTGAAAGACAAGCTTCAGTGATGCAGATAACGATGGCTTTTTTTCACATTTTAATAGGGATGTGCACAATTTCACAGCAACACATACAACGTTTATTTGAACTTGCCTGAAAAGCAGCATTAGTCCTTGACCGAAATCTCTGAAGTTATTGTGGCGAGTTATGGCCGTTTCAGGGTTCAGGTCAATATTACCAAATACCTGCAGAGGCGTGCAGAGGAAGAGGCTATTATTGATACACTTGGCAAATATGCCCTATATTATTTACTAGCTACTATTTAAAAACTAATTTGATACATCATTATAACTACAATATTCATTAAAAGAAAGGTGAAATATAAGTGATAAAGTGAGAAATATAATGCATTCGAAAAAAATATTCTTATTGAAGTTTTCTATACTACAAAGGAACGGAAATATTATAAAGAAGTTTTTATATGAAATAGAATATGCTATGAAAGGCACTAAAAGTCTACATAGCTACTGCTATTGAGGACGTCCTAGCCGACTAGGAACAAGGTGCGTTAAACAGGCAGAGGCAGGCGGCTAAAGAAGATAAAAAATGACGAAGCAGAAAACACTTTGCCATTTATTCTTGCTGATGGAAAAACTATTAATTTGCGAATTAAAATTAAAACAATTCTGCTTATTAAACCAGTATTTTTCAAAGGAGATGACTGATTAATAATTTTCATGATTGTTCAAAGTCCATAGTGAAATATTTGTGTTTTTAAAAATCTTTAGTTTTTTTTTGGTAGGCTTTGTAATTTAATACACACAAAACTGTTATAGTTCAGCTTTATTTTTATACTATTATTGAAATGAAATTTTACAAAGACATTAAAAGAATAAATAACTAATATTTGGATGCGAAATCTCTATATTCATTTAGCAATGTTTTGGAAAAAAAGCTACGATTTCATTTGATGTTTTTATTGAAATGCAGAAGGCTTCGTAATGATATCCCTTAATATAAAATTTTTAGAAAACTTTTAAAAGTAAAGTAAAAAAATAAACGAAAGCGGTCAAATATACACATGCAAAAAAGAAAAAAAAAGCGCTATCGAAATCAAAATGAACAGCACGCGAAGGCGAGACTGAAAAAACTAAAACCCTTTTGATTGCCAGACGAAGCAGAGTTGCAACGCATCCAAGTTTCATCAGACAATCAAATTGGTTTTGATATTTTTCTCAGAACCTTCCTAACTATTAGTTCAACAGATTTCGATACTGTTTTTTAACAATTATTTTACGCCGCTTAATTTGTATACTTTTTTTTGGCAAGAATTCTATATTAAAGAAGGTGATTACGAAACATCCTGTATTGTGTAATACTTCCAAAGCATGTTCTAATAGCAGAAAAAAATGTTTTGGTTCGAAATTAACCACATATGCGTAAAAAAAATCTCGTTCTTTTCTTCCTATTGCTTCAAAATGAAAGATTTATATTGAATGTCAATAAAATGGCAAAGTGTATAACTGTTATAATTTAATGTTATTAAACTCACCTAAATAACAGAATAAGAGATTGAACAAAGGTTTGGAAGTTGTTGTGGCGATTGATTTCTGTGTCAGGGTTGAGTTGGATATTGCCGAACACCTGAGAGATTTTCGAAGAATGAAGGGATAATTTAAACCCAAAATGTTTGAGATACAACAACACTAGACTGAAAAGTGAAGAGTGGTCAGGTAGAATGAGCGCATAAATATCACACAGAGGGTTTTCTTCAGTCTATTTAAAATAAATACTACTCGGAACAGGCATTCTTTATTATTTTCATTGGAAAGTACAAGGAACCATATTGGTTCGTTAGTTTACAAGAGTAAATTGTTTTTCTGCTCGAAATTGTTTTAAACGGGTGAAGGAACCTCGTCTATTTTCTGAAACATCTCAACAATATTTATATGCATAACAATTAATAATATCATTAAATGTTTAATTATGTGGAGAGAGTATTATGGAAACTACACGCAAATTCCTTAAAAATATATGATTGTAGATTTGAAAAATACATTTAAGGTTTTGATATGTTTTAATAACTACGATTTTTTGAAATTTTATTTTTCTAAAACTTGTTAAATTAACTAAACATTACAAAAAAATCAAATTTATTATAAAATTGTAAAGCATAAACTATACGTGAAAACTGTAAGGGTTTTCCCATATTTACCCCATATCTTTTCATTTAGGAATCATATTACAGCAAAATTTTTCAGCAAAAGAATTTATTGTTGCAATGCATAGAGAAACGATCAAATTAAGTAATGACGAGCTATTTAACTATTCAATTGTTAGTGAATAAACATTATAAGCATTTTTTAAGTTGCGTTATATTCCTTGAAAGTTCTATATCCAAAGTAATGAATATTGCTTAAATTCTTATTTTTTGAGTAAGACTTTGATTTTCATGCCTTTAAATTACTAAGTTAAATTATTTAGAATTCTCAGCCTTTTAACAAAATTTGGCTTACCAGATTATTCATTAATTAAGTTGTTAAAAGATTATTGCATAAATGATGATAATTAATGTAAGAATATAAATAAGGCAATGCGACCCAAAAGAGAATCGCGTTCGATCTAGCAACATTAAATGCGTCCCATTTAAAAAGAAAGTTGATGTGATGCATTGATTGATGTAAATCGACGTAATTGTAGGATATTATTGTTAACGTTCGTTCGTTTTTGTTGTTTTTCTACAAGGTATAATACAAA